AGAACACATCAAACACAAGATACAGTATGTCTAAACATCTTGAAATTATAATTTAAGGGTAAAAGCTGAACAATTATGCTGTTGTAGCTAGGAATTAAGTGCACCTTTTCCTGTTTCTCCCAAATAGAATCAGAGTTTACGATTTAATCACACCTCAAAGCTTTTTCTCTCATTACAAAGCAACCACTAAATACACACAAAATACTTATTTGTTAATTATTTCCCTGGCTCATAAATGTGCAAAGCACATTGACTCCAAAGACTACAATTTGGGGTGAGTGTACACAAACTGAAAAATCACAACTCCAAATTTCAAAACTTGCTCTTAAAACCATAGGACAAACAGGTTGTTTTTACTTCCATGAAGATGTCACACTGTTATTTATTCATCAGTCTCCCTTAGAATGACAAGAATTATCAGTTGCCAATCTGAACAGATGAGGACTGGAGATACAACTTTTAAAATATCCCATTTCTTAATGGCTGAGAAAGGTCATTACAATGGTTTGCATTCTGTAAGTTTCAGCACCTGCAATCTACCAGGCTTAAGGACCTTAAGTTAAATGGTGTAACATCCTATAAGTAGCCAATTACTTCAGTATAAGCCATTCAGAGCCCAAAGTCTGAAGAATGACCAAAATCAAATCTTTATTTTTTAGTAAGTGTATAAATGTGATCCAAATGTGTCCACCACTAGTTTTTCCAAAAGAAACATGCTATAAATAAGCAAACTACAACTGCTCACTGATAAGTATGGACTCCCTAGATGTCTCATTGGGCTTAATTATAGACCACTCACAGTAATAGCTTTTTAGTATCAAGTGTAGCATGATGTTAAGCCATTTGAGCTTTTGCACATACATGTTGCACTTCTGGCTGATAATGGAGAAAAATTTGCAGCATTACACTGTTAAGCTAAGTTGCATCCATCCTTTTAAATGGCATCAATATCAATGTCATCATCCTTGTTGTCAGACTTCACAGTTTCAACTTTTGGTACACTGGCAGTCTTCGAATATACCACCTGATAAGATAAATCATTTCATCAATTAAATATAGGCATTGAGTAACCACCCCTAGTTGTATTATTTTCAGTAAGTTTCTCTCGTTTTTAATTTTTTGAGATATTATTTTCCCTTCCCTCCCCTCCCTCAAAGCTTTCCCAGGACCACCCCCACCTCCATCCCCCTTCAGATTCAGGGCCTTTTTTTTCTTCTTCCATTTTGGTGTTTTGAGACAGGGTTTCTTTTCATAGCCCCTAGCTGTCCTGGAACTCAGGAGATCCTCTGACTCCTGAGAGCTAAGAAGGTACATGCCACCACGTCCGTCAGTAATTTCTTTATCTCAATAGATTATGCCTAGGGGTAAATGTCTATCATTGGGTTAATCTAATTATTTTCTAGGGCTGGAAGAGGCAGCTCGAGGTTAGAAAGAATGCCTGCTTACCTATCACTCTCCAGAACACATATAAAAATTGTCTCTTCCACCCATTGAAAGACTGTAACTTTTTTTTTGGTTTGTTTATGTTTTCAAGACAGGGTCTCTCTGTGCAGCCTTGGCTGTCCTGGAACTCACTTTGTAGACCATGCTGGCCCGAAACTCAGAGATCCACCTGAGCCCTGGGATTAAAAGTGCTACCACCCAGCTGATTACACTTTATCTTTAATCTGAAATTTGGAATTATACTTGGGATCAGTTCAAGGCTAACTAGGGCTAAACAGAGGAAAAAACAAAAACAAAACAAAACTTCAATACCCATTGCCAATCAAGTACTCAATAACATGTTCCCTAGCTTTTACCTCAATATTTTCATCTTCATCTTCTTCTTCACCACCAGAAGATTCTTCCTCTGCTTCCTTCAACCATTTAATAAATGGTTCTGCTTTGACACGAATCTCTTTGGCAAGTTCTTTTGAGACGTATTTCTTAGAGGCCTAAAAAAGTTTTTTTTTTTTTTAATTTAAAGAATTTTCTCAGTCAAGATTTGAAAATATAAATTACTTGTACAACAAGCTATTTAAAGGGACTGGGTCATACCCTAACCTTCAACAGTACATACACACTAAGAGACTAAACAACACATCCTGCTGCCTTTTAACAATAAAGGGACTCAAAAATTGCATTGGGCCGGGCGGTGGTGGCGCACGCCTTTAATCCCAGCACTCCGGAGGCAGAGCCAGGCGGATCTCTGTGAGTTCGAGGCCAGCCTGGGCTACCAAGTGAGTTCCAGGAAAGGCGCAAAGCTACACAGAGAAACCCTGTCTCAAAAACCAAAAAAAAAAAAAAAAAAAAAATTGCATTGGATTAACATAGGAATTCAACTTAATGTAGACAAGAGACTAAAGATATTATTTCTTCATAACCCACCCCCACCAGCTGTTTTGATGCTTCTGAACTTCACAAACAACTTATGTGCTCCCCACCTTTTCCGACCAGCTGATGATGACCTCCTCTTCTAAAAGGTCTGCATCATACATCTCCTTCAAGATATGTGGAATCTTGGAGATCAGCTGAGCTTGATGCATTGCTACCACACATTCCAAACCATGAAGAAGGTATCGCTGAGCCTTTTTGTTGTTATGACAAAACTGCAAGTAGACAGTTAGCATCAATAATAGTCCCTATTCTAAGATAATTCAGTACTTTAAATAACATATTCATTCTCTTAAAGCATGGCACATGTAACAATGGCTTAAAAAGGTCAATGCACAGATACCCTTACCATTTGCAGGTGCTCCCACACTTGGTAAAGTGGGCCAATTACCTATTTTCAGGATGACAATATAGTGGACTGAAACAATTTAAAGCCACAGTACTAAGTTCACAATCTTGATTTAAAACCCCCAAAAGTCTCTTACTCTTAAGAAATGGCGCCTGTATTTCTTGATCTGCTCTCTTATCTTCTCGTTAAAGAGAACTTCAGTCAAAACAAGAGGACCCATAGCTTTTACATCCAGTCTTTCTGCCTCAGCAACAATTTCTTTATCAGATGAATCAATAATGCCCTCTTCTTTCTTTTTCTGGAAATAAAAAATTCAATGAAGTATAAGCTTATCTTGCTATGCTTTACAGAGTAGTCCTCCTTTCTCCAGGATTTCTACCCAATTTATGGAAGTATACCCACTATATGTCCAATATATTTCTTGAGTAAGTAAAGAAGAAAAGCAAATACAAGCACTGAATTGAAAATACACAAAGGGAGGGTGTGAGCCGGGCAGTAGTGGTGCACGCCTTTAATCCCAGCCCTCGGGAGACAGAAGCAGGTGGATCTCTGTGAGTTCGAGGCCAGCCTAGTCTTACAGAGCGAGATTCAGGAAAGGCACAAAGCTACACAGAGAAACCCTGTCTCAAAAAACCAAACCAAGCCGGGCGGTGGTGGCGCACGCCTTTAATCCCAGCACTCGGGAGGCAGAGCCAGGCGGATCTCTGTGAGTTTGAGGCCAGCCTGGTCTCCAAAGCGAGTTCCAGGAAAGGCGCAAAGCTACACAGAAACCCTGTCTCGAAAAAACCAAAAAAACAAAAACAAAAACCAAACCAAACCAAACCAAACCCAGACAAACAAATAAAAACAAACAAACAAAAAACAACCTACAAAGGGAGGGTGTGGTGGCATATGCCTTTAATCCCAGCAGAGTGTGGAAGATCTCTATGAGCTCCAGGCTATCCTGGTCTATGAGTGCCAGGACAGCAAGGGCTACAGAGACCCTGTCTCAAAAACAAACAAACAAAAACACTGAATAAATACAATTCAAAGATATCAGAGAAAAAGTTAACCAATTATAAAGACAACAAACATTTCAAAGGAAAGGCTGTATGATCTGTGTATTTGTAGATCAAGCATATTTACCTTAACAAAATCAAACAGGATGTTAACACGCTCTTCTATAGTTCTTTCCAAATCATCGCTGAGTGTCAGAACTTTTGCATGGTCACTGATTTCATCCATTCTGCGCCTCTGAGCTTCCTCAGTTGTATCCTCCCCCCAATCATCATCCTCCTCTTCTTCCTGCTTAAACAAAAGCAAAGATCTTCAAATAGTGATATTAGTCACATTGACAGGATGACACCTTTGCCCGTAGACCATATTATCAGCCCACAGAATGTATCTTTCACATTAGTGTAAAGAACAACGAAATGCTAAGCAGGGAAAGAAAACCCAGGCTCAGTTTAGCTCAACTCAAGCAACCAATACTACAGTTTTAACAGTGCACTACATTAATAAATTCAAATGTTCGTTAATTTCAACCAAACACCAGTCTTTTCACACAATTTTAAAGTGCCCTACACTCACCACAGCATGTGGAGGAGGACTAATTTCATTTGGTGGTGGAGGTGGTGGTGTCTCACTGCTGGATACGGAGCCATTTTCCTTGTCCTTGCCCTTTCTATTTTTCTTTTCCTTTTCTTTCTTTCCTGTACCACTGTCACTATTCTCTACAGGGAAACAAAAGTTAACTTAGTCCTATGGTTTACGTGTCACTGACTTAAATCTCTATCAGATTTAAATCCTACCCTCTCACCATCACAACTCTCCTCAGTAGTCAACACAACAAAACGCAACTTAGAATTCTGAAGGGAGGGCTGGAGAGATGGCTCAGTGGTGCAGACCACTTGTTAAGACCCAAGTTCGATTCCCAGCACCCATATGGTGTTTCACAATCACCCATAGCTCCAGTTCCAGGGGGATTCAATGCCTTCTACAGGTCTCTAGGGCACTGCACACACGTGGTGTACAGCCACACATGCACACAAAACACCAACACACCAAATAATAAATATAGATTCTGAAGGGATTCAGACAAATCTACTAACCACACTTCACAAGTTTTAGAATAAGACGCTACTAACCACACTTCACAAGTTATAAAATAAGATGAAGTAATACAATTGGGAATATTAAAACTGTTAGAACTGTTCATATAATGCCTCAATCAAGTAGTTTATCCCTATGAATTTAAACAAAACCATATCCAAAACCTGACCATCCAACAATTAAATAGTTTGTTTGAGTCTATATAACGGCTTGTCTCACGGGGAAAGAGAACGCCGGAATAGGTTGGACTATCTTGCTATAGCAAGCTCAAATTGTGTCAGATAGTTTTATTCATCTGCCACAGAGTGTTGCTTGCAGTTTTCTAAGCCACTGTAGCTTAATGAGACAAGCCTTGTTTCCAGAACAGATTTTATAAATCAACAGGATGCTATAGTTTGGCAGCCTCCTTTTCACTTTTACTGTTACATAAAACACATTTTTCAATAATATCTTTTTTTCTTTTTTTGGTTTTTTCAGACAGGGTTTCTCTGTGTAGCTTTGCGCCTTTTCTTGGAACTCACTTGGTAGCCCAGGCTGGCCTCGAACTCACAGAGATCCGCCTGGCTCTGCCTCCCGAGTGCTGGGATTAAAGGCGTGCGCCGCCACCACCGCCCTGCTCAATAATATCTTATAGTCAGTTAAAAATCACAAAGTCCTGAGCCAGAGACAGGCAGACCACTGAGTTCGAGGCCTGCTTGGTCTACAAAGTGTGTTCCAGGACAATCAGAACTACACAGAGAAACCCTGTCTCGAAAAACAAAACAAACAAAAAAGTCCAAAGACTAAAGTTCCTTATACTGTATATACTTATTCAGTACTAAAACATTCCATTTTTTATTTCAATAGTCATTTGTTAAGACTTACCAGGTGGGTTTTTGAGAATGAATGTACAGAGTTTATGATGTGTGTCAAGCATGCCTCGGTACCCACAGGCTTTACAAGAATTACCTATTGTTTGCTTCTTTGGATTGACATGCTGTCAAGAAAAGTAAAAACAAGTGTCATGTATAGTAAAAGATGAAAACTGTATGTGAGTTTATACAACATTAGAAAACATCTGAAACACTAGTTTAACACAAATTATCTTCATAGTAGCCTAATTTTAACAAAAGGTATTCTCTAACAAGTCTGGTACCTTCTCAGGAACATGAAAGTATAATCAGGCAACACCAGAAAAGGATACAGAATTTAATGCCAAAAACCTTAAAGGCACTCACCAGGTCTGTTTCAGGATTCTCACACTCAGGACAAAGAACAAATTTTTTAATGAATCCATCCAACATGTCTTGCAGCTTATTCGCCTCATGAGATCCATTGACAATGTAACGGTCATTCTTAACATCAAACTGGGTCTGTGCTCCCAGCTCACAACCAAAATATTTGGTGGGATCTACAGAAGACAAGGTATTTCATTATAGTTAACTAAAGCACTGGCTTCACACAAAAATTTATACAGAACTCACCGTTCCTTAAAATTACAGGGCCACTGAGAGACAGCCAGGGTGGTTTAATGACACCCAATCAAGTAGGTATGAAGTTCCACACTTGCTAGTTAATATATGATTGAGGAAAGACTGTCAAGGCTATATCCATAATATACCTTTTCAGGCTTCTCCAAGCTTTACTTACACGTTGGAGGCCGATTAAGCGCCTTTGCAACGTCAACCATGTTGACTATAACTGTCTTGATTCCATTTCCTTTGCCCTCAACCTAAAGGAAATAAGAATTTCAATTTTGCACTGTCTTCCCTGTAAATGCAATCTTTCAAGTCCTATGAAGAACATATGGACCAACTTCTTACTAAAATGAAGATCAGTATACCTTGGCAATCAAACGGGGCATCTTGTAGCGATAGAACTGGTCTGACACGCTGCGGTTGACGTTGACAGACATTTTGGCTTATTAGTGACTTTATCAATAAGATGAACAGATCTTTGATTGCAACTTTTTGGTATCTTCTGTCTGGAGAAGAAGGGATGACATAAACGACTGCAAGAGTTCTCGGTCTCTGACATGAAAAAATTTTCGCCACTGAGGCTGTAAGCTTCTTGCTTGTATGCTATGTTTCCCCAATACAGGTACCAATGGCTGCGCAACAGCTCTGAAAGAGAGAAGGGGAGAACACACAAACACCCCTACAGGGTTAGTGTCATTCCTAGGCGGATAAACTTCCTGTCTCAGAGCACCCCACCTAATCAACTCTCCTAGCTCACAAGGCCCGAGTTCATGTGGGGGACCAGCTGACAGCCTCAGGAACAAAGCACAGCTCCAGGAACCTAGGAGGCCACCATTTTGACAAGAGCTGCGGCTGTGGCCGGGAGATGCCCCAAACAAGGAAACAACACAAACACAAACCCTGCTCCCTCAGCTGCTGGGAGTGTGTCAGACCACAGACCACCGGCGAGTCATCGGCAGCTGCCGCCGAGCGACCGTGCTCTAACTGCCGGGAAGGGGATCCCGGCCCTCTTCTCCCTCAGCTCAAGCCTGCGAGCAACCAACTTCTCCGATCGCGCCTCCCCCGGCCGCCATCGTTGTAAAACGGGAAACGTCGAGCCGGACCTGCCAACCGCGAAGCTGCGGCGTCGGCGACTCGGGCTGGCTTCAGGGCGGCACGTCCGGGCCAGGAGCCATTGGCTCCGTCGGAGCACGAGGACCGCGGCCGGAGCCGCGCCCGGGCTCGCAGCGCTCGCTCCCTTCAGCGCACGGCCGACCTTCGCCCTCGTCCCCATGGCTACGCGACGGCGAGCGCCTATCGCCCGGCCTCCCTCTTCCGGCGGCCGGCGGGGCGGAGGTGCGGCCTCCCTGAGTCACAAACGCGCCCCGGGCCTGACTCAGCCCGGCGCCGGCACGCGCGCGCGCGCTCCCGCAGAGACCGGCCCCCCCCCCCAAACTGCGCCACACGCGCGGCAGGTCACGCGGCCGCGCCGCCATCTTGCCGCCGCCATGGCCCGCCGCCCGCGACTCACCGTTTTCGTCAAATAAAGACATAAACCCAACGCGGCTCGCCCGGGACTGGGAGGAAGAGGCGCTGGAAACCGGGTCCGGAGCGGCGGGGCGGGCGGCGAGCGGAGGGGCGGCTGGGCAGGTGCCGCCGCCGAGCAGCGGGAGGGGCTGTCCCAGCGACGTCCGCGTCCACACCAGCAGCGCCGAGCCTGGCGACCTGGCGGGGACACGGCTGTGAGCCGCAGGCGGTGCCTGCCGCCGCCGGCGGCCCGCGGGGTGGAGGGGCGGGAGCGCTGGGCAGGGGCACGGGCCACCGCCCCCCGCGGACTCACCTCTGGAATGTTCTCGCTCTGACTGAACAACGCCGCCGCCGCGCTCAAGCTACCCTCGGCCCCGGATCCCGCCCCCTGCAGCGGGCCGCAACTGCTCATTGGCCGCAAGCCCACCCGAGCTCGCCGGCCATTGGCTTGCAGGCGCGTCAGTTGCACCTTTCCCCGCCCTCCACTTCCTGGGGCTCCACTCGTGGGCTCGGCCCGCCTCCCGCCTATCCCTGCTTCCTTCCCCTCCCCTCCCCCACTCTGTTTTTCCCAGAGGCCTTCGCGGTCTCGCGATAGCTGTGTTTTGCTGTGAGTTTGGGCGCTCGAGGCAATATGGCGGTTGCCTGGTTCACCTGCGGGGCGGGGCCGACTTGGGCCGCGGCGTTGCCTGGCTTCGGGCCACGCCGGTTCTAAATGCTCGCCCTGCCTACGCCGAGCGCCCCGGGAAATGCAGCTCCGGCTGCCTCTTCCCCACTACCTGGCCCGGGACTGTCATCCCGTGTGGTGTCTCCCCGAACTCGGGAAGCAAGGCACGGCTAAGACTCCGCGTTTGTGGCTCTGGGGTTTCCCACGATGGAAACGCCACCTTTTGTGTGTTACTTGGGCCCCCGAAAGTGCGTCGTGGTGTGGTTTCGACCCCAGTGGTCTGGCTGTGCCTCAGATGCTCAGCCGCCACGTAGGGCCACTCTGTCTAGCCCAACCCAGTTTATAAAGTCGATTCCTGGCGGGTGAGCCGTGGCTCCGCGCAGGTGTACCCGATGAGGCCACAGTTCTGTATTTACTAGCAATTTCTCTTCGGAAAAAAAAGCCCCGACTTTTTTTTTTTTTTGGTGGTTGTTCTTTAGAAACTCTCTTATTGTTTAAAAACTTCGTTTTTTTTTTTTTTTTTTTTTTTTTTTTTTTTTTTTTTTTTGTAAAAAGTTTCTATTGAGACTTAAAATCGTACCAATTAAAATGTAGAAATACCTGAGATTGACCAGAGCCCTGTTCGAACTTCTTGAGGCTTCTGAGAGCAGCAACCTGGCTTAGCAGCTGCGTGGTTTCCTGGATGGGGAGAAACAACACTTACGGAACAGGGGCTGCCCTTTGTTCTAAGCCAGATGAATTTGTAAGGTTAAAATAGATCTATTTTGTTTTGCTCAAAACCAAGGTTATTTTCCCACGACTTATAAGGCTTATAAAGCCATTTAGAAATTGACAGTGTCATTGGGGCAGAATAAAGACACGATGCAGAATTGAAAGATTTGTGTCATTTTCTGCACGAGTTTTCGTTATTGCACAGTACGTGGTTGTACAATTTTTAGGCCGAATGCGTACTGCTTATTGGTTACCTGGGTTCCCCATCGTTAAAGTGGAAAGATAGGTCCCAGACGGTGCTTTATGATCATGACTTAGCAGTATTGAAACAGATTGAGTTTTTGCTCGGCTGCCCTCAAATGGCATTATTTTAGAAACTCTCGGAAAATAAGGATGTGAGACTAATCTGAGGTAAGAGGCTTGTCTCATAAAAGTATTTTTGATAATGCTATACAAAGTGGTCTTTTCTGTATGTTTGATGGCATGATCTTTAATTTAAATTTCATTAAAAAGCCTGATATGCTGACACGTTTAATCCTAGCACTCTAGCAGATAGATCTCTGTTAAAGGCTAAGCTAGTCTACATTGTGAGTTCCAGGACAGCCATAGAAACAAACAAGTAAATAAATAAAAAAGCTGTACCGGCAGGAGGTGGTGGTGAATGCCTTTAAACCCAGCACTGGGGAAGCAGAGGCAGGAGGAGCTCTGTGAGTTCGAGGACAGCCAAGGCTATACAGAGAAACCCTGTCTCAAAAAACAAAAAGCTTACACTAGTTCTAACTTTAACTTTTAGTGTATGCTCCACTGCTGTGTTATTATGGACAACTTCTAAGAACACGTTTCATGCCCTCTCACCATATAGCCCAACTTGACCCCCAACTCACTGCCTCAACTGTAGAATTACAGCAGGCGCTAGCACACCCAGCTAAAAAGTACTCAGTCACCATTATCAAATGCTTACCATGTCTTAGAACTTTGACTAGACTTCAAATACACTGAAGACTTCTTATTCCCATTTTATAAACAAGAAAATTGAAGTGTGTGTGTGTCGGGGATGAAGCTGCTTTCCCAAGGCTGTATTCCAGTAACTTGCAGAACTAGCATTTGTACCAGTTCTCTGGGATCCCAGAGCCTCCCTGGGTCAGCATGTGGCATACACTTCCAATTAAATACAAAAATATAACGAGGCAGTTTATATGGAACCCCACTTAATTGACTAATAATCTGGTAAGGAGGTGTTGTTATACCCATACTTTACAGGCAATGACAGCCCTTTAATACACAGTGGACAGCTTTTAAACTCCGGCTTGTTTGACGCCAAGCTTATTGCATAATTTCCCCTGCCATTTCCGTCCCCACCTCATTTGGCTGTTATTTCCTTCATTCAGGTACTTACAGTTGGTTAAATAATGGACACTGGGTGCTTATGAAATCCTTGTCCATGGGTTGTGCATTTTGGCACTGGGAAGCTGACATGAATAGTTGCTGAAGAGGTAAATGAGTAAACTGCCTGGCTGGTTGTTTAGACATTGGTGTCTCTGAGTCTGTTCAGTCTGAATTAGTCCCCTGAGTTAAAATCAACTCTTTGTGGACTAGAACTTTGTGTTTCTGAGTAGTAGGCCATTGAGGAGACTAAGGTCAAGCCAGCTTTGAGGGGCCATCTGGTTGGTCAGCTGCTCCACCCCCTCTATGACATCTGTCTCTCAGCTCTTAAGGCTGCACAGTTACTTCGGTTGCTGTCTCTTGCTTGAGGAGGAGCTCAAGGGCACGAGCATCCTTCTTCTTCTTCTTCTTCTTCTTCTTCTTCTTCTTCTTCTTCTTCTTCTTCTTCTTCTTCTTCTTCTTCTTTCTTCTTCTTCTCCTCTTCTTCTTCTCCTCCTCCTCCTCCTCCTCCTCGTCCTTCTTCTTCTTCCACACTAGCCTATCTCCTCAGTGTGCACTGAGAACAGGCAGCCAAAGATGCCAGAAGGGAGTGAGTAGTCTCTGGTAAGCACAGGTGCCTTGACTGCCTGAAGGGCTGGTACCTAAATCACAGCTTTTTTTTTGGGGGGGGGGCGGTTTCGAGACAGAGTATCTCTGTAGCTTTGGAGCCTGTCTTGGAACTCACTCTGTAGACCAGGCTGTCCTCGAACTCACAGAGATCCCCCTGCCTCTGCCTCCTGAGTGCTGGGATTAATGGTGTGTACCACTGCCGGCCAGCTTAAGTCACAGCTTTTTAAACTAGGGCTTGCAACCCCATATGGGATTGCATAACAGTGTGGAGAGCATGAAAAGTTTGTCAACAGTAAAAGGCATCAATCAATATATGACCAAAAATTAATTCCAAGTCAAACACACAGTGACTTTGAGATGTTTCTACAACACTTACCCATGTTGCATTGTACAGCATTACTGCAGCCTTGGTTCTGAACACTGGGCATGTGCACACGGTCTTGCCCATGCCAAGTCATACCATGCAACCATGCAATGCCAACAAAGGCTTCCTGAGTCACCTCTGCCCAGATTGGAAAGCATTGTGAGTTAGGAGGGGCCGCATCACTGTAAATACAAAGTTATTGCTCTTATAGAAACAAACTTACTGCTCTTCATCGTGTATCAAGTTAGTATATACTGTGTTACCATGTTTTATTTATTTACTTATTTGAGACAGTGTCTCACTATGAAGCCCTGCTCGGTCTGAAACTCCCAGAGATTCACCTGCCTCTGACTTCTGAGTGCTGAGACTGAAGGTGTATACAACCACACCTGTCTAGAATGTTGTGTTTATTTTTTAAATGCTATTTGGGGGCTAGTGAGAAGATGGCTCAGTAACTAAAGGTACTTCCTGCAAAGACTGGTAAGCTGAGTTTGATCCCCAGGCTCCACATGGTGGGAGAGAACTAGTTCCACTTGAAAATATGCACAGTAGCATATGCATGCTCCCCAATAAAAGAAATAAATGTAATTTTAAAAATTAAAAACTGCTTTTTCTACAAGGGAATCTGTCTTTTAAAAAAATTGAGGCAAAAAAAATTGAGGCTAAACATGGTAATCTCAGCACTGGGTGTGTGTGGAGGCAGATCTTCGTGAGTTCAAAGCCAGCCTGGTCTATATAGTAAGTTCCCAGGCAGCCAGGGCTACACAAAGAAGCCCTATTTAAATCATCATCATCATCATCATCATCATCATCATCATCATCATCATCATCTAATTGAGTTTTGGCTCGGGATTAGGACAGAATTTTCAACAGTTTTTGGAATTGCCCTAAACATATTTCTGCCATTTTAATTTATGTAAAGTAGCATTCTCAGGCATCAAAATTTCGATCATCCAAAAAATGCTGATGATGCCCTATGTCCTGCAACATCAAATATTTAGCTAAAATTTAGTTCTTTATGCAAAAACAAGCACATCTACTTCATTAGCCTGCAAATTTGCCTTTTTTCCTTTACATTTTATGTATTTGATATATATGTATGTATGTGTGTGTTCTGCTTGGTAAATACCCCAATGATGTTTTTCCCTTTCAAGTCAGTGACCCTCTAGCACAGTGGTTCTCAACCTTTTTTTTTTTTTTTTTTTCCTAAGATTTATTTATTTACTATGTATACAGCTACAGTGTTCTGTCTGCATGTGTGCCTGCATGCCAGAAGAGGGCACTAGATCTCATTACAGATGGTTGTGAGCCACCATGTGGTAGCTGGGAATTGAACTCAGGACCTCTTGAAGAGCAGTCAGTGCCCTTAACCTCTGAGCCATCTCTCCAGCCCGGTTCTCAACCTTCTTAATGCTGAGACCCTTTAATATAGTTCCTCATGTTGTGGTAATGCCCAACCATAAAATTATTTTGTTGCTACTTCATAACTATAATTTTGCTACTGTTATGAATCGTGTTTGATACGTAGGATATCTGATATGCCACTTCCCCAATGGGGTAGAGACCTATGTGTTGAGAACCGCTGCTCTAGCAGATGCCTCCTGCCTTTGGGACCTGCCCCCTCCACCCTCCCTATTCCACATCTGTTGGAGTGCACAGGGCTGCATTAAGATTTTCCATTCACTTGTCTTCTGCTACTTATTAGTCCTAGCAGTTTGAGGTCAGGGACCTTGTTTATGTTTTTATTTTTCTATGAGACAGGGTTTCTCCATGTAACAGCTCTGGTTGTCCTGGAACTCACTCTGTAGACCAGGCTGGCCTCGAACTCACAGAGATCCTCCTGCCTCTGCCTCCCGAGTGCAGACTAAAGGCATGCGCCACCACTGCCTGGCTGAGGGATTTTGAGAACAAAATAATCTGGTTTGGTGGAGGCCTAAGGCCTTCTATCTTGAAGGCCCAGGAAGGAGCAGGAGTGTCTGAGGAAAGATGAGCATCCAGGTGATGTGGTACCCTCTTCCTCCAAAGCAGTGTTCTGACTGTGGTCTTGTCTGCCGTTCCTGGAAAGAGGAAGAAGTGCAGAATGGTGTGAGTCAGCCTTGTTTTCTCTCCCACACGGATGCTGGGGCCTCAGGAGTGAGAATGTTGCCTCTGCTCTGCTCTGCATTGGTTGTCTCAGGAACATGGAAGTTTCTAGCATGATAGCTGCCCCATGATGGACCTGGTACAACTTCAGGTACATGGTCCCTGGACTGAATACTCACCCCCACACTGGTCACAGGGATGCTTGCTGTACGTGCTGCAAGTGCTTGTGGAGATGCTGTGCAAGGCGTGTTCTGCCTGAGATTCTGGGACTGCTACTTTATTCTGGGTCCTGGCAGCCATCTACAAACCTCTGTGAGGGAGCACCACACAGTCCTCCCCCCTCCCCCCGTCTCGTTTCTAATCGGTTGTGAATGTGGTGGTTTGCCCACACAGATGAAGGCACCACGGGCCTGTGGGTGAACCCTGATCCCTAATGATCTGTGGGAAGTGGGTCCTATTATTGGAGTACCAGGCCACACCCCTAGGAGTATGTCTCACCAGATGCTTTGTGCTTAGTTAGGGCTACCTGGGGTCTAGGAGTCATCTGTATCATAAAGTGAGTACCGATATGTGTGGCTGTGTTCTGGGATTTGTGTGTCGTGCCCCCCCCCCCCCCCCCGTGTGTGTGTGTGTGTGTGTGTGTGTGTGTGTACTGGGAGACTTCATCATTCTTCACCCTGTTGCCTTGAGAGGAAGGCTCTTACTGAACTAGAATCTTACCTGTTTCTGCCAGGCTGACCAGTCACCAGCTCTCAGTATCTGCCTGTCTCTCTGCCCTCTAATGCTGGGGTTACCGGTACATACAGCCCGGGATCACACTCCAGTCCTCAGCTTGAAGAGCAAGCGCTCATTTAACCCCTGAACCTCTCCAGCCTCTAGGATCCATTCATGTCTTGAAACTCTCCTGCTTACCTTTGTGGGACCTGGTTTTTCTCAGGGCAGAAGCTTATTAAAACACAGGTTGGGGGCCTAGCAAGACAGCTCAGTGCGAAAGCATCTTGGGTTTGCTGCAGCTGAGTTCAATTCTAGTGCCTACGTATTTGAAGGAGAAAGCAGAACCTCTCAAGTTGTCCTCTGACCTTCACAGGCACACTGTAGTGTGCACACGCCCATACATACTACTAAACAAATGTGATTTAAAAAGACTTTTAAATCAGTGGGGCCATGGTGGCACACACCTTTAATTCCTGCACTAGGGAGGCAGAGACAGGCAAATCTCTTTGAGTTCCAGGCCAGCCTGGTCTACAGAGTGAGTTCTAGGATGGGCCAGGGCTACCAGAGAAATCCTGTCTCCAAAAACCAATTGTGTGTGTGTGTGTGTGTGTGTGTGTGTGTGTGTGTGTGTGTGTGTATGTGTGTGTGTGTGTGTGTGTGTGTGTGTGTGTGTGTGTGTGTGTGTGTGTGTGTGTTTTAAATCGCTGACTGAACTGGGCCTTGCAGAGGAGAGGATGTTTTTCCTGGGTGGGACATGAGGTTTCTGGTGGTTTCCCAAAGGTTGCAGGTGCTATGCATCCCAGGACTGCACTCTACATAAGAGCTCAGTGTTCATTTACTTTGGATTCCCCCCAAAACAGAGAGCTTTCTCAGGAGCTTTCTTCCTAGGTATTTCTGGGCAGTCGGTCTGCAAAGGAAATCGCTGAAGAGGCATGTCTGTGACCCAGTGAGTAGGTCATGGAAACAGTCCCCAGGTCCAGTTGTACAGGGTGAGACTGTTTTATGTTGATCATAACCTGTTAGTTAGAATCTGAGTGACCTGAGATCCTCATCGGTCACCACCCCAGTGAGACACGTGCACACTCTCCCTTCACCTCACAGAAACTGTTGCTTAGTGCACACCTGTGTGGGACTCTGGTGTCCTGACATCCACTTCCGGGTCTTCCCACTGTGGAGGGACTGGTTAATCTGCTTGGTGGATCCAGGTTCTAGCAGTAAGCTTCTTCCCTTACTCTTGATTTGGTTGTTCTGATGTTGTTGCAGACAGGTTAGAGGGGTGGCGGGGTCTGAGTGCAGTGCTGAGAAGGAGGCCCGGGAACCCCGGGAGGCCTGGGAAGCCTGGGAAGCCAGGGCCTTACGGTCTGCACCACCTGGGAAGCCCAGGAAGCCCGGGAAGCCTGGGCCTTATGGTCTGCACCACCTGGGAAGCTGCATTTTCCTCTAGGCTACTGCTTGTCACTCTTCAGCCACTGTGCATCCTGTCCAGGGATGTGCACTGGACACTAGAGTTTCAGTAGGTACCAGGGTCATAATATCCACTCATGTTTATTTTCAATGGGAGCCAGCATTTTAGAGATTAGGAGATTTGGGGCTCAGCAGTATATGAGGTCCTGGATTTGGTTCCCAGCACCCACATGGTGGCTCACAGCCATCCTTAACTCTAGTTCCAGGGAGTCTTAATACCTCTTCTAGCCTCTAATAAAGTGCACTTACATGCAGGCAAAACACCAATACACATAAAGAATAGATAAAAATCTTAAAAATGAGGCGATTTTACATGCATGGTTTCTGGCACTTGAAAAGCTGGAAGCCTTGGCACACTGGACATACCATTAGACAGTCTTGTCTCAGCCAGATGGTCAAAGCCTGGCTTAGGGCCTGACTGCTCATGCATGAACACCATTGTCCCCCATCCAGGTGTGCATGAACTCTGCCCAAGTATGTTCGTGCACTCTCCCTACCCAGGTGTACATTTCTACCCACACCTGGGCCATCGTTCACTGTTGTTTATTTTCCCTCTGTGCATCTTTATTCATTTCAGTCATACGTTCACATCCCTCTAGGTTCCAGTTGTCGAGAATCTGAACATTCAACACACTGTGTTTCAGTCTGTTTTTTCTTCCTGTAATGAAATAGCTGAGGCAGGCTAACTTTTTGTTCAAGTGAAGAGATCTATTTAGCTTGTAGTGTTGGAAACTGAAAGTCCACTCAGGCAGTCCCATCAATTCAGCAGTGTGGCGGCAACGTGTAAGAGATCACACTTGTGTTGGGATTGACAGATCTCTGGGCAGACCAGGGAGCCTGGGCACTGTGTGAGTGTCCTTTCCTGACAAGAGCACCTTAAGGAACGAAGGGTTTGCTTTGCTCACAGTTCCAGGGTGCGGGCCATCCTGGTAGGGCGGGCTCGACCGCAGGAGCTAGCACATTTAGTCTGCAGTCTGGAAGAAGAGAGAAATGAATGCTTATGCTCAGTGCACTTTCCCATTTTCACACAGTCCAGAAGCCCAACCCAGGCAATAGTGCTAATACCAGTGGGTGGGTCTCATTTAATTAATTAATTAATTAATTAATTAATTAATTAATTAATTAATCTATCTATCATCTATTTATTTCTCCATCTATCTATCTATCCATTCATCCATCCATCCATCCACCTACCCACCCACCCGTCCATCCATCCACCCACCCACCCATCCATCCATCCATCTATCCATCTATCTATTTATTTTTCGAGACAGGGTTTCTCTGTGTAACAGCTCTGGCTGTCCTGGAACTCGATCTGTAGAGCAGGCTGGCCTGGAACTCACAGAGATTCCCCTGTCTCTGCCTCCTGAGTGCTGGGATTAAAGATGTGCGCCACCAATGCCTGACAGGTCTCATCTTATTAACCCAAGGAAGACACTTGCCAACAAGCATGCCCAGAGGCCTGTTTTCCAGGTGAGTCTCTATCTCATCACCTTGACAGTTCAGATTAAGCATTCCTGGCAACAAAGCACCACACAGTGTGAGAATTAAGACATCAGAGATTTATTTTCACGGGCTGGAGCTTCCACACATCAGTGGTAAGTGCTTGCTGTTTTTTTGGTCCTTGGATCTCAAGGCCAGGCTCTCTGTTCTGCTTCCAGTGTATGCCGACAGCTTTTGGTGTCCCTTGCTTGTATTTACAAAGCTCTAATCTTTATAAAATTGTATCTTGTTTATTTACTTATCACACACAGACACACACACACACACACACACACACACACACACACACACACACACAAACAGAGCTTCAAGTAGAAGCTGGAGGACAACTTGAGGGTGTTTTCTCTCTTCTTCCACTATGTGGGACGTGGGATCAAACTTGGGTCATCAGGTTTGGTGGCATGTCCCTTTATCTGATGAGCCATCTAGCTGACCTACAAAAGCGCTAATCTTTTTTCTTCTTCTTATTGTTACTTCAGGCAGAGTCTTACCATGTGGCCCTGGCTGGCTTGGAACTCACAGAGAGCCACCTCCCTCCGCCTCCCAAGTGCTGGGGTTAATGGCGTGCACTAGCATGCCCCGCTGAAGCTTTAATCTTGATAATGACGGTGCACACCTGAAATCCCAGCACAAGGGAGAGGGAGGACTGACGCTGTAAGGCCAGCCTGGGCCACAAAGCAAGCCTGTTTTTAAAAAGGAGATAAAATTATTGAAAAACAGCTGCAGGCTCCACTGTTGCTGTCACACGGTTTGTGTGTCCTCGGGTGTGTCTTTACATGGTATTCTCTCCGAGTGAGCCAGCCTGCACCTCATCCCTTCTTAGAGAACGCTGTGTGCATTGGGTTAAAGGCGCACCCCATGCAGGATGCCCTCTATTACTTGTTTATATTACTAGTTTATATCAAGTTAAAAACACAGCGAGCCTAGAATTTACCACCAGGCCTTTGTTCGTCAGCCCTTGGGGAACTACACTGGCCAGTGCCTCAGGGGCTCCTCGCATTTGTCCGATTTTCAGGACAGGTCTGGTCGGCTCGATGCTCCACACATTACTCCCCCACCAGTCCTCCTAGGGGTGGAGTCTCTCTCTCCGTATAACTCTTCATAGGTAAGGAAACGGAAGCACAGAGATGGAGTGAAGTTTGACTAAGGTCACCGTGGAGTCAAAGTTGGTCTGAACAAAGCAGGCAGCTGAGTCTGAAGGTGAAGCTCGGCCAACTTCACACTTCTCCCTAATGGTAGTGACATCAGGGAGCTACCCTCTGAGCTGCGGCTCAGAGGAGTCTGAATGCCATTTCCAAGTGCGCTTGTGAGGTAAAGCAAGCCTCCTCTAGGCTCTGCAGCCTCCCAAGGTCATACTGAGGGTATGACGCCCTGCCTGGCCAGCGTGTTGTGTTTAAACTTCCTCTTAGAGTCAATTTCTATGTGTCTGTGATATTCTCTAGTAGATGGAAGAACCTTCCAGAAACCTAACAACATGCTCTAAATAGCCTTTATTTTTTGGTACAGATCTGAGTAAATATAGCAAGCACCAGATGGGACTGTGGAATTCTTAAGGAAAGAGTGGATTCATTTTGAGTTTTCTTAAATTAGGTGAGCTCCCACGTCCAGCTCTCCCAACGTGACATTCTGTGCTATTAAACTTGGTAAATGGAGCCCAGCTATTCTGAGCTTTGTGTGCTAGAAGCCTCTGCTCAGAGCTCCTGCTTTGGGTTAGTTCATAAGGCTGCTTTTATATTGGTGCTTTGTGCAGAAGAAGGTCTCTCCTGCTGGATATTTACAAAATTCATGGCTTTTTCTTTTCTTTCTTTCTTTCCTTCTTCCTTCCTTCCTTCCTTCCTTCCTTCCTTCCTTCCTTTCTTTCTTTCTTTCTTTCTTTCTCTCTCTCTCTCTCTCTCTCTCTCTCTCTCTCTCTCTCTCTCTCTCTTTCTTTCTTTTTTTTTCAAGACAGGTTTTCTCTGTGTAGCATTCCTGGCTGTCCTGGATCTCACTCTGTAGACCAGGCTGGCCACAAACTCACAGAGATCCACCTGCCTCTGCCTCCCAAGTGCCAGGATTAAAGGCATGCACCACCACTGTCTGGCTGATGGCTTTTCTTTGTTATTGTTCATGTATTATTATTTTTTAGTTAACATACAAAGTCAGGCCCACTTTTAATTTTTTTAAAAACATTTACTTGTCTGTATGTATGTGGTCGTATGTGCGCCACAGTGCATGCGTGGAAGCCAGAGGACAACTTCTGAAAATCTGTTGTCTGCTTCCACCATGCGGGCCCTGGGGATGGAAGACCTGGCGGCAGGTGCCTTTACCCACTGAGCCACCTCGGTGACCCATTATAGCTGTTTTTAGCACATGCTTTTGCTGCCTTAAAATCCCAGTTGTAAAGACATGACAGGTTGCATTTCCTTAGCAGGCTATCTCCAAAGCTCGCCATCATGCTAAGAAATAAGGGCTTTTGAAAGGACTGTAGGACTTGTTCAGATGAGATCCCTAAACCAGCAGACTTGTGGAGTAGACAAGGTGATGGCCAGGGCCAGGGGATGGACATGGAGCTGACCTTGAATGTTTCAGAGCGTTGGTTTACAAGATGAAAAGAGGTTCTGGAAATGGAGGTGGCGATTGCTGCGTTAACAGTGTTAACGAGGCAAACTTGATGATCTAGACAGGTGAGTGTTTATGTGTCTCTGCATCTCTGTATATCCTGATCAAAACCCCATCACAGCTTCACAACAATAGCTAGGCACTAGATCCATGTCTGCACAAATGGTGGTAGCTACATAAAAGCTCATCTTCCTGCAGTTAATATAAATATGCACAGTGTAAATATTATTTGTCTGAAATATGCTTTCTTTCTTTCTTTCTTTTTTTCAGATTAAATGTTCCTTGGCAAACAACAATCCATTTAACTCTGACTAAGCTCTGTGATTGTGAAGATGCCGTGTTAGCACTTTGAGCTATTGTTATCCAGTCCATGGTGGATGATAATACTCTACAGTATTAAAAATTGGCCGGGCGGTGGTGGCGCACGCCTTTAATCCCAGCACTTGGGAGGCAGAGCCAGGCGGATCTCTGTGAGTTCGAGGCCAGCCTGGGCTACCAAGTGAGTTCCAGGAGAGAGGCGCAAAGCTACACAGAGAAACCCTGTCTCGAAAAACCAAAAAAAAAAAAAAAAAATTGTTTTAGCCTTGCGGTGGAGGCCCATACCTTTAATCCCAGTGCTTGGGAGGCAGAGGCAAGCACATCTCCATGAGTTTGAGGCCAGCCTGGTCTACAGAAAGAGTTCCAGGACAGGCTCTAAAGCAACACAGAGAAACCTTATTTTGAAAAACAAACCAAAATAAAAAAACCAAAACCAAACAAAAAAAATTGTTTTAAAGCCATGAAATTTGGTCTGGAGAGATGGCTCAGTGGTTAAGAGAACTTGTCACTCTTGTAGAGGACCAGGGTTCAATTCCCATGGTGGCTCACCACCATCTGTAACCCCAGTTCAAGGGGGGATCCAACAGGCACACATATGATGCACATACATACATACAAGCAAAACATTCATACACATAAAGTAAAATAAGTAAGTCTAAAATTTTAAAAATGTTGAAATTTACTTAGCAACACAAGTAAAATACAAGTAAATTAAGATTAGTTATAGTTGTTTAAATGAGGAGTGACTGCCATATGCTTATGAACTTCAACACTTGGTGTCACCCCCACATTGACGCTGTTGTTTGGGGAGGTTATGGAACCTTTGGGTGGTGGAGGCTTGTTCACTGGGGGGTGGCTTTTGGTGTTTATAGCCTGCCCCCACTTCCAGTAGGCACTCTCTGCTTCCTGTGCCTGGTTGAGATGTGATCTCTCAGCTTCCTGTTCCTACTGCAATGCCTTCCTGGCCATTATGGACGTCTGGCCTTCTGGAACTATAAGTAAAAATACACGCTTAAATCACCTTTGGTCATGGTATTTTATTATAGCAACAGGAAGTAGCCAGTAGCTGATATATCCGTCTTCAGCAAGGTTTGTGTGAAGGGGAGCGAAGCTGAGCACTGGGACCATGTCTTGCCGTATTCTGTGTTTACCTCACTCCAACTCCCTTGCTTTCTCCAGGAGGCAGGTGAAGCCTGTGTTCTTTTCTTAGCCTGAGTTTGTCCACTAGAAGAGGGCCTTGCCCCTAGCCTGTCCATTGCATAATGCCAGGAACTGCATGTGGGCAAACTGATTCATAATGAGAACAGCTCGAAGAAATAATGGTCTTCATTATTGAGAACTACAAAGCTGAGAAACATTTTGTGCCTTGGCAATCAGGATCAGATGTGCATGATTGGCTACAGCCTACTGTGAGAAGGCACCCATCACTCTGTGATCACTCATAAAACATCTCTAGACCAGCTTCTTGGCAAGATGGGCTCCTTTTTTTCCCTTCTGAAATGGTTTCTCTGTGTAGCCCTGGCTGTCCTGGAATTTGCTCTAGGATTAAAGGCATGTGCTGCCACGACCTGGCTGGCAAGATGGCTCTTTAGAGGAGAGAATCCCTGCCATCATCAGCTAGTTTATTGCAAGATAAAGTTCTTTCTCTAGCAGAACCTTGCTGCTGCTAATTGACTTCCAACATGTGGTGAGCAGTAACAACGCCTTAGAGAGCAGGTGTTGTGAGCTCAAGTCCTTCGAGCTTTGGGCAGGTGATATCAGAGTGAGACGACTGGGGTGCAGCAGGAAGAGTGCCAGGGACTGTGGCAAATTAAGGGACTGATTTAAAAGCGTTACAAGCCGGGCGGTGGTGGCGCACGCCTTTAATCCCAGCACTCGGGAGGCAGAACTAGGCGGATCTCTGTGAGTTCGAGGCCAGCCTGGTCTACAGAGTGAGATCCAGGACAGGCACCAAAACTACACAGAGAAACCCTGTCTTGAAAAGCAAACAAACAAACAAAAATTACACTTGTCAGGGCACAGTAGCATATATATAATGGTAATCTCTGCACTTGAGAGGCTGATGTAGGAGGATTGTGGGTCCAAGACTAGCTGGGCTGCATAGTGAGACTGTCTAAAAACATCTAACTAAGCCAGGCGGTGGTGGCACACGCCTTTAATCCCAGCACTTGGGAGACAGAGACAGGTGAATCTCTGTGAGTTCGAGGCCAGCCTGGTCTACTGAATGAGTTCCAGGACAGCCAGGACTGTTACACAGAGAAACCCTGTCTCAAAAAATAAAATAAAAACATCTAACTAAATAAGACATTACATTTAATTAGTGGAGATAAACCCTCAGATTAAAAATCCACACAGACCAAACAAGATGGGTAGTGTCTAGCTGGTGAGTACCAGTTGGCAATTTCTGCTGTGAAATGGGAATGGAAGGGGCGCAGGGGGCCTTCGGTTCCAACTCCTGCTTTTCAGAAGAGAAACATGAGTAAGAGACAGCCTGGAACCAGGGCTGGGGGAGAATCTCGATTTAGATAATCTGAGGACTCTCTCCTACCTCACTGCTAGCTAAAAATATTTCATCCCTAGATTAAAAAAAAATGCCTTCTAAGTTTGGATTTAAATCTTTTAAAAACTAGATAAATGTGTTTTATTCTGTCGCACTGCCTATCATGAGTCTGATACTTCTCTATTTTAATAATAGCTGCTACTTCCCAACTAAACCCCAAACTCTGTGTTTGGCAGAAACTTTGTATGCATACTGTGTTCTTGCTAGCTTTTTAGAATTATATTTTATTTTCATTTTCTTCCTTTTCTTTTTTCTTCAAGACAGTGTTTCTCTGTGTAGCCCTGACTGTCCTGCTCTGTAGACCAAGCTGGCCTCAAACTCACAGAGATCCATCTGCCTCTGCTTCCTGAGTACTGGGTTCAAAGGCCTTCGCCACCACCGCCCGGCTATAATTTGTAAAATGAACGTGTACAGGGTCTGGAGTCTGGGGGAGGGGGGTGATCTGCAGGATGCAGTACTGAGGCCATGTGACGTTCTCTGGACTGTGTTTGGTGGTGTGGATCCAGGAAGTCCTCCTCACCAAGACTGGGGCTTTAATGTGATTCTGAAACTCAGAGAGACGGCATGTGTGAGGTATCTCCGCATTCTCTCTGGTACAAACCAAACAGGAGTCTTTAAAGTCTTCTGGCCCAGACAACCTGGTGTGGTATAGGATTGCCCCAGGAGCTCATCTGGGCAGAGAAGTTTCCATGGTCACTTGTAGAGGCCTGTGTGTCCTGCACTGGATGATATGAGCTAAAACTTGGTGCAGCAGGCAGGTGAGAAGGTTGGTTTCTGTCCATGGTACAAAGCTGAGAGCCAGAACTCAGAGCCAATGGATGTACTGCATGGAAAAGAGGGGTGTGAGCCCACATACCTCCATCGGGGTTGGATTTGTAGGGGTGTGAGCCCACATGCCTCCATCGGGGTTGGATTTGTAGGAAATGGTATGTCAGCTCTTGTGTTAGGATGGGTTCATCCGATCCTATAAATGGCATTGCCCTCCAAGGTCTCATTTTCATACCACACTCACCTTCTAATAGTTGTTCTGGTCCGGGACAAGAGGAGTGACTTGATCAGATCACCTTGTCAATAAGTATACAAGAGCTACAGCCAGAGGACTCTCCATTTGCACATGAAAAATAACTGTGATAACTACTCATTTTAATTGTGGTGCTTAGAAAGAGGCTGGTGTGTTTGTATGAATTGCTTCCAGTGATGGGCTGAGCTGAGCCTTTGAAGGCACTGGTGAATTTGTTCTGGGGCTTGAGTCCTGTCTGGGTTGTGAGTTCTGTGTACCATGGGAGAGCCTCCAGTGCAGACCACTTATCTTCTCATGACAAACACATCTGATACTCATACCAACCCAGAAAACACTCATATCAAAGCCACACATGCTGGAGAAGGCATAGGCGGGGGGCGTGGCGGGGGATGGCTGGCCTTTTTACTGCTGAGTGTGTATGAATAAACATTTTGTCCATCTGCCAGCCTGCCTGCTCCCAATACACCCTTCTCCTAAGAATGTAACATGTAGCATGCACACTTGGTTGGTTGCATTTCCAATTCTGCTTAGAAGCTTGGAGCTGAGTATCTGTCCCACATCTCAGAGGGCCTAGGTGGCTTCCCATGTCTGGATGTTAGCTTCCTTTTCTCCCCTCTGCCTCCTAGTGCTGGAATTAAAGGTGTGCTCTAGCCGGGCGGCGGTGGCGCATGCCTTTAATCTCAGCACTCGGGAGGCAGAGGCAGGTGGATCTCTGTGAGTTCGAGGCCAGCCTGGTCTACAGAGCAAGATCCAGGACAGGCACCAAAACTACACAGAGAAACCCTATCTCGAAAAACATGCATACACACACACATATATACATACATACATAAAGGTGTCCTCCACCACAGACTGCAAAGAGGCTTTGAAGTTCATCCTTTATGGTAGGAATAGCTTATCCAGTGGTGTGTAGTTGGGGCTCATTTTTCAATGTAAGGTTTGCTCTTTGCAGTGTAAAATCTATGCTTTGCAACATGTTGAGGTGCAGGAAGCTTGGGGTAGATTTTTTTTTTTTTTTTTTTTTTTTTTTTTTTTGGTTTTTCAAGACAGGGTTTCTCTGTGTAGCTTTGCGCCTTTCCTGGAACTCACTTGGTATTCCAGGCTGGCCTCGAACTCACAGAGATCCACCTGCCTCTGCCTCCCAAGTGCTGGGATTAAAGGTGTACGCCACCACCGCCCGGCAGGGGTAGATTTTTGTAAGCACCTGTTATGTGTGTTCTTTCTTTGTGGGCTATAAGACTCCCTAGAGGCTGGCTTCTGCTTTTCAGATATAATTTCTTTTTCTTTCTTTCTTTTTTTGTTTATTGTTGTTTTTGTGTTTTGGGACAGGGTTTCTCTGTGTAGCTTTGGAACCTGTACTAGAACTCACTCTGTAGACGAGGCTGGCCTTGAACTCAAGAGATCCACCTGCCTCTGCCTCCTGAGTGCTGGGATTATAGATGTGTACCTTGCACGCAGCTCTTTTCTAGCTTTCTGTTTAGATTAATGTCTGTGTGGTAACTCCAGCAGACCAAGAGAGACCAACTGTCCACAGCCTTTTTGCTCAGTGCCTCTGCTTCTCAAGTTAATAACATCCGGGACCTTTCTCCTTTCGGCCTTGGCTAGGTTTTACTTTACTTTGTTTTCATTTGTGTCTGTGGGTAACCGTCTGTCTGTCTGTCTGTCAGCTTGACTGAACAAACAAATACCTAGTGCTGGTGAAACTCACCTGTGTGTCTGGTGGGGAGAGGGGACGGAGTCCAGAGAGGATTGACATGAGGGACAGTGACTGAGAAGGACATTCTCAAAAGGAATATGGATGGTCCTTCCAACCAGCGGCCAGGTGAAAAGCTCTAGGAAAAAGCACTGTGCCAGTGCCTGCCTCTGCTGCTTCCTGATTGGGTGGAGTGGGTCGACAACCCCCCAGCGCCCCCCCCCCCCCCCCCCCCCCCCCCCCCCCCCCCCGCAGTGTGCCAGCCACTGCTAGACTCTTCAGCCTTATTATGTAAGCCAACCTAGTAAGTCCATTATTTATTTGTTTATTTTGAGACTAGGTCTTGTCTAGCCCAGGCTAGCCTAAGTTTAACATTCCTTTGTGTGGCTTTAAAAGTTTATGCACAGCTGGACATGGTGGCACACACCTTTTGTCCCAACACTTGGGAGGCAGAGACACGTGGATCTCTGTGAATTTCAGGCCAGTCTGGTCTACACTGTGAGACCCTGTCTCAAGAAAAAAAAAAAAATTACAGCATAAAATCTTTACATTAAGGATGGGGAGAGGGTTGGAACAATGGCTCAGGGTTCAGTTTGCTCCTCTTCCAGAGGACCTGAGTTGAGTTCCCAGTACCCACATTAGGTGGCTTACAACTGCCTGTAACTCTAGCTCCAAAGGATCTAATGACCTCTTCTGGCCTCAGTGGGAACCTGCACACATGTAGCATACTCTCACACTCATACACACACACACACACACACACACACACACACACACACACACACACACACACACACAAGTAAAAATAAATCTAAACAAAGTTGGGAGAAAAAATTCTGTTCCAAACAATGTCCCGACGTAGCCAGGCTGGCTTCGGCCTCCCAGTGCTGGACTCCGGCTGCACACACCACGCCTGCCTGGAACGTGTTCCTTTCTACCCTTTCTTGGCTCTCCTTCCTCTCCGATGTTGTTTTGAGATTGTGTCTCATGTAGGCCAAGCTGGCCTCAAGCTCAACAATCACATGGTGTATTTGAGGGTGACTGTGAACTCCTGAGTCACCACGCCTGGTTGGCCCTTACCTTTTCTCCCCATCACTGGCTTGGGGAGCTGCCTGGGCTACATGAGACTCTACCTCAAAAACAAAATTATAAATAAACAAATTTTCTATTTCGGTCTTACTCCACTTCCTTCTAGGAAGCTTCTTCCGTGAGATCTTCCCATCTACTGGTTTGTGCCTCGGCTGTGTCCAATGAATTCTATTCATTGTAGTCGGAACTTCCGGCCGGGCCCTCCATGGCTGGGCTCACTGCTTGGTCCTCTTACCGTGCCGCTTTCCTGCTGTTGTGCGTTGTTGACATCTCCCCTCATCCTGCTGTCTCTGTTCAGTGCTCTCTAGTCCTGAGATCCTGTTGCCTGTAGAATGTGGAGCACAGTCTGTCTCCTTTAGACTAGCCCTGCCTTGTGTGGGCTGGAGGCTTTGCTTTTTGCATAGTCTTCATGGGACACCGGCTACTCTGTTAGGCTGTGTACCCTGGGCTGGGGTGTCTGAGCACAGAGTATCCCTGCAAGTCAAGGCCTGAGGTTCCTAGGGAGACTAGGTCAAGCTCTGAGGCAAGCAGGGAAGGTCGGCAGTGTCCTCAGCACCCTAGGCATGGCCACCAGTGAATTATGGAGCCGGGATTGACTATCCTGACTCCTCATGGCTGCCAGCCTTAGTGTTCTTACCACACTAGGCCATGGGCTGGGAGCAGCTTGTGGGAAGTGTGAATTTCCTGGACCACTTATATTCGCTGGAGTTTGGGAGGAGGGAGGTGAGTCTCACGTCAATACACACTCTTACGTGTGACTGGCCTGGGCCTGTCCCCTCTCCCCATTTCCACCGTGGCAGATGAAGGGTCGAGGGGAACAGTGGCCCTGGCTGATATGTCTGTCACAGCTTCCTTCCTACTTCCTGATGTTCCTGTCTTTTGCTTGAGGGTCATGCCCTCATTTGATGAGTGTTAGGATTAAAACAGAAAATTCTATTGCCACCTTGTAGGTTTCTGAGGATAGAAAAAAAAAAATCAGGTCACAAGGTCTGGATAAAATTCAGGGTACTTAAGGTTTAAAGCATATATCCTTCTGCAGACATTCTAGGAGATGGCCTGAAGCTTGAAGGAGAGCCCTGAGCTGACTGGGTCCTGCCTGCCTGGGGCTTTGGCCTTTGGAGAATGCTGGCACCAACACCCTCACCCAACCCCCACCCCGGGTAAAAGCTGCCTGACCTTGCCATCAAGCTTTTCTGCTTCAGAGAGTAGTAACATTTAAATTCATCTCAGCACACTTCCTCAACTGCCAGGGAGACGTCCTCTGTCAATTCTGGAATCTGGGTCAGCTGTTCATAAACTTGCTCTTTGCTCAGAGAAGTTCACAGCCCAGGCAGCAGGCAGTGGGTAATATTTGAGGGGGGTCGTTGTGTGGCAAGGGGTGTGTTGAGTGGGAGGGGTGGGCCTGGAGAAGGATTTTACTTTTTGGTGAGTTATATTGTTTATTTATATTTTTGTTTTTGAGGTAGAGTCTCATGTAGCCCAGGCTGGCCTCAAACTCACTATCAGCTGAGAAGGACTTTGAACTTCTGATCTTCTGACCTCTATCTCATAAGTGTTGGGGTTACTCATGGTACAGCCCTGTCCAGTTTATATGAGGTGCTAGAGATAAACTTAGGGACTTGTACATGCTAGGCAAACATTATCAACCAAGCTATAGCCCCAGCCCATTTTTTCTTGGCAGGGGGGCTAAGACAGGGTCTTTCTATGTAGCCTAGGTTGGCCTTGAACTCATGATGATTCTGTTGCCTCTGCTCGTGAGTGCTGAGATTATAGGCATACAGCATTAACACAGCATGTTGCAGCCTCACCCCCAATGCCAAAGGTAGAACTCAGAGCTTTGAACACCCTAACCATTGAACTCCAACCTCAACTCCTGGTTTTCTGACACATGGTTGCTGGGCTAGATTGCCTAGGCTGACCTTGAACTCCTTTTTTTTAGACAGTTTTCCTGTGTAGCTGTCCTGGATGTCCTGGAACTCAATCTGTAGATCAGGCTGGCCTCTAACTCAGGATGATCTGCCTGCCTCTGCCTCCAGAATGCTGGGATTAAAGGTGTTGCACCACCACTACCACCCGGCTAGGCCTTCCTCTATGTCCCAAGTGTTGGATTTTCAGCCTGCACCACCACATGAGGCTTGGCTTTGTTTTCTGTCATCTTGTTATTTGAACTCTCAGGAAGGCAGGTTCTAAGCATTGCCACTGACATAGGGCATGGAAAGAAAGGCCTCAGCAGGGGGTGGCATGTGGGAGGGCATCTCCTGTGACAGTTAGCCGAGGCACAGATTACTTGGGCAGCATGTGCTCTGCCTGCACCCCCTTAAGCTCACTCATGAGTCAAAGCCTTCATGCCCCTGCAGAAGTTTCTTCAGTCCAATGTTTCTTCCTTCCTGGATAAAGGCACCGAGGCTGAGCCTGGGTCCTCGATTTCCACATTTGCAACTGACCTGGAAGGGGACTCCCAATGTCTTCCTTGCAGAAGTTGGCCCCTCCTCATAGACAGGATGTCACTGTGGTGTTGGCCCCTGGTGAGGGGCCCGGTTATGTGACCTCAGACCTGTCCTCTGCTGTTGTTTCCAGGGTCTCAGTGTCTTCCGACCTGAGAGTGTGCACTGCACTTATTGAACAATATTACAAAATTCACATCTTGCAGTGGGTCACAGTCGAGAGTCTGAGGAAGCTTTCGAGGGACTCTGCCTTGGGCCCTGTCTGTGTGGACTACGGTGAGGTGTGTGGACACAGCCACATCTGTCTTCAGGCAGAGAACTTCCCAAGTGGGAAGAATCACTTGGGTTCATTGCTCCTTGCTTGCTGGATACACATTAATCCTACCTGGGCCCAGAGCTAGGTAGTCATTCCAGAAGGGCCCTAAAAACTGGCCTCATGTGGTTCAGAGGTAGAGGAGCTTAGTGAGCCTCAAGGCAGATCTTAGCACATGGCTCCTAAACCGGGCGGCGGTGGTGCACACCTTTAATCCCAGCACTAGGAAGGCAGAGCTAGGCAGATCTCTGTGAGTTCAAGGTCAGCCTGGTCTGCAGAGCAAGATCCAGGACAGGCACCAAAATTACACAGAGAAACCCTGTCTAGAAAAACAAACAAACAAACAAACAAAACCAAAACAAAACTAAACAAAGCACACTGATTCAGAGCCAGCCTCACGTCCACCTAAAGGCAGAAGGAATGCCAGCTCCGGGCTGCACCACTGCGCTAGCCCTGATCTCAGGACCCTGGACGACGCTCTCCACTCCCGAGGCTGAAGTCAAGGACGGGACTCCCAGCAGGAATGACTTAGCCCCGCTGGTGTATCACGGGGTACTTTCACCTGCTCTTCCTTTTCCCTGGGGTGAGGCAGTAGAGAAGGCTGTGAGTGACTGCAACCCACAGAACCAGGGAGGCTACATAGCAAGGGGGACCCTAGGATGACTGTGGCTTGTAATACGTTTTGGTTTTACCCAATCACTGGGCAAGCCTCAGTGAAACCCCTCACTATTAGGATAAGAATTTGTACTGTAGCAAGCTGATAATAGAAAAATAAATAAATAAATAAAAATGGAAAAAATAAAAAGAAGGCTGTGAGGGACCAAGGCTAGTAAGAGGATGTAAACTCACCCTGTGCAGGGTGGGGTGGGGGACCCCCGTGATGTTCTCGTTCCTGGGTGTGTGCTGTAACTTCCCAGGGCCGGTGCAGTCTCTTGAGAGCCTTGCGTGTGCAGAGGACGGAGGCTGACTTGGGTGCCCTCTTCCACTGCTCTCCACCGTTTTGTTTCTTTTATTAGACCTGGAGCTTGCTGATTGGGTGAGACTCTCTAGCCAGCAAGCCCCCAGGACCCTCCTGTCTCCACCCGGCATTGCTTCAGTTCTTGCCTCCAGTTTCCCGTTTCAAGCTCCTGCCCTGACTCCCCTTTGTGACGGACAGACAGTAAGATGTAAGATGAAACAAAGCCTTCCCCTCCCCACAGTTGTCTTTGTTTATCACAGAAGGCAGACTAGAAGAGAACTGGTACAGCCTACACAAACACACACGCATTAGCTGGGGTACGGCTGTGACGGCGGCCGGCCGGGACTGCTGTTCTGCGGTGAGAGGCTTGTGGAAGGATTTGGGAGGCTAAGGCTAGAAAAGCCCTTGAGCACTCAGAGCTTAAATGGCTGCTCTGTGGAGGCTTGGAAGGTACGGAGTGCTGAGAGCAGTACAGACGGAGACCTGGCTTGTGAAGTTCCAGAGGAAAGATTGAGAATCCCTCAGAGAGCTTATCAAGGCTGTTCTTGTGATATATTTGAGTTAAGAATCTGTGGTTTCTGGTCAGCTGGGGCTGAAGAATCAGCTGTGATTATCCAGAGACCCACACCACTGAAGTGAAACCTTTGCCTTTTGTAGCCATTAAGCCCCACCCACACCCGGAAGGTGGAGGTAAAAATGTTTATTTTAGTTGGGTCTCATGTTTTTGTGATCTGAGGGATACAGGAGAATTTGCCCAGTGTTTTAGGACTTATGCCTGGACCTAGAGAGGTGGTTCAGAAGTTGAGTGTCTACTGTTCTTGCAGAGGACCTGAGTTTGATGATACTCAGCACCGATCTGGTTCCCAACCACCCATAACTCCAGCTCCAGGGGGATCTGATGCCTCTGGCCTCTGTAGGGACCTGCACTCATGTGCACATACCCCCCTCCAACATACACATATTAAAATAATAGAAATAAACCTTTAAAATTTATTTCCCTTTAATTTTTATGTGTATGAGTGTTTTTCCTGCATACGTGTTTGTATACCATGTGCAGGCAAATACCCACAGTGGCCAGAAGAGGATGGGAGAGTCCCCAGGATTGGGGCTACAGATGGTTGTGAGCCACTGTGTGGGCGCCGGGAATTGAACCCAGGTCCTATAAAAGAGCTGCCAGTGAGTGCTCTTAACCACTGAGCCAATTCCCCAGCCATAACAATAAATATTTTTGTTGTTTTCTCAAGACAGAGTTTTTCTTTGTAGCCTGGCTGTCCTGGAACTTGCTCTGTAGACCAGGATGGCCTTAAACTCAGAGATCTCCCTGCCTCTGTCTCTAATCTGTCTAAAATAAATCTTACAAAGAGTTCTATCCTATACATTATATACATGTATATATACTTGACACATTAAAGTTTTGTTTCGTTTTGCTTTGCTTTGTTTTTGAGACAGGGTCTCTCTACATAGCCCTGGCTGTCCTGGAACTCACTATGTAGACCAGGCTGGCCTCAAACTCATAGATCTTCCTGCTTCTGCTTCCCAGTGCTGGGATTAAAGGTGTGCTCCACTACAGCCCCACTCAGCAGGTATTTTTTAATGGAGTAAAGCTATAGATGTTAGACAGAATATACACTTAAAAGCCTGCAGAGGGCCCACTGGGGTGGGAGTCTCGTTCAAATTTGTGGATGTGTATTGAATCACAGGATAAATGTGTATCTTGCTAAGTGTTGAGGTAAACAGCCAGAAACCACTGTCCTAGTGGGCTGTGAGGGTACCTGGGAGACTACCACGACATTATTTAACTGACATGTCACAGTGCCCAGGAGTGCTAAGAATTGTTACTCCCATCTTTGTTCCGTCCCACGGGACATTTCTGGAGAGAACGCTGAGCCTTTTAATGTTCACACTCCTATTTCTTAGAAAGTGGCACCCATTGATTGCTCTCCCTCACTTCCAAGCCCAAGACACAGATAGCCCTCTTCTGAGTTTCGCCAGAGCAAAGTCCTGACGAGGTACACAGTGAGCCAAACACAGATATCTCAACGTAACCACTAGGTGGCGAGGCCTGGCTGTGGTGTCTGAGGAGTGCTGGGATTGTAGCTAACCCTGCTGGGTGCCTTTCTGCAATTGTCTTTCAAAGCAGCCCTGCCGGTTGTCATCCCTATTCTGTGGTGGGAATCAAGAACCCCTTCTGGACTGGAGTGTGGGGATGGGGATGGGGATGAATTCCACCAGGGAACTCCACCGGGGTTGTTCCTCTGGCGGAGCTGATGCTGCAGTCTTGTGGCGTGGGGTGTGAACTGGTGGACGCCGCTGGCACTGGGGCCCAGCATGTGTTGGTTTGGATATTGGCTTGATGGAATGAGCTTCAGGAGTGTTGGTCGATATTGACCCCCAGCAGTGCAACCCATGGTGAGGCGTAGGGAGCGACCTTTGCAGAAGGAGCTGAGCATTCTGGGTGCTCCCCTCCCTACACCCACTGCAACTAGAGTGTGCTATTGTGATCTGGCTTGGAGTGACCTGTAATCAGTGGCCCAAAGGGGGACTACAAGGAGAGGCCACTGTACTTTCTTTTTTAGATTAAAAAAAAATTATCTTTATTTTTTTATATGCATTGGTGTATGCATGTATGTCTGTGTGAGAATGGAGAGTGTCAGATCTTAGAGTTACAGACAGTTGTTAGCTGCCATGTGGGTACTGGGAATTGAACCTGGGTCCTTTGGTAGAGCAGTTGGTGCTCTTAACCACTGAGCCATCACTCCAGCCCCTCTCTTTTAGATTTTAAATTTTTATCTTTGTGAGTGTTTTGCCTGTATGTGTGTCTGTGTAGTTTATGCATGCTTCGTGCCCACAGGGTTCAGAGGAGGCATCTGGTTTCCTCTGGGTGCCAAGAACCAAACCTGGGTCCTCTGCAAGAGAAACAAGTGCTCTTAACTGCTGTCTCTCCATCCCCCTACGCCACTATTACTAATTACACCAGGGTACTAGGCCTTGCTGTGACGGTCCAGGTGAGCAGGTTGGGAGTCACAGGTCTGCCTCACCTCTGTCACAGAGACATCGGCACTGAACTTTGTTGGGAAGCATGGGTTCTGGAGGACTGTCTGGTGGCTGCGGTGGTTGCCATGTGAGTTCTGGGTGGCAGTGGAGAGACAGGAGGTAACCCCAACCAGGCTGAGGCCCTGTCAACTCTCCCCTCTCCACCAGGTGATTCCTCTGTAACCCATCTTCGGCAAGGCTGCTTCTGTTTCCTGCCTCTGAGAACTCTGACTAGTCTGAGCACACAGACGCCTCTCACTGTCCCCCAGAGTGTGTGTGGAGCGGGAAGGCTTCCCTTCATCCCACACGTGGGGAAGCAGGGATACCCTGTGCAGAAGGGATGGTGGGCAGCTGAGGGACCTGGCAAAGCAGCCCTGGTGGCACTTTGTGAAAGTCAGGAGAGGAGAGGTTCCTGGGTCTGGAAGGTGGGTGGGGGAGCGTGCTCTGCAGCAGGGACCCTGAGTGTGGGAGACCTGAAGACCAAGCAGAACTCAGTGCGCTTCAGCACAAGCCATACGAATGTTCATTCAGGCTTTTGTTTGTTTGTTTTGAGGCAGGGTCTCATATAGCCCAGGCTAGCTTTAGACTTCCTGTATAGCTGAGGATGACCTTGAACTCCTGATCCTCCTGCCTCTACCTTTTGAGTGCTGGGATTATGATGTGCCACCATGCCTGGCTTTATTTTCTTTTTCTCTTCCTTCCTTCTTCCCTTTTAAAAAATAAACCCAGGAAGTATAAAGAAATCTAAATGACCTAGTCTTTCCCAGTGCAACGTATTGGCACTGAAGGGAAAGTAATTCACATGGTAGAGTTCAGAAAAGTCTAGAACGAAAAGCTCAGCCTTGCTTCTTGTCTTCTATCCTAAAGCTAAACTCTCTTCACTTTCTTATGAGTATTTCCAAAAGGGTTCACCATAGACCATAATGTGTCACTGGTCATCGCTGTAACTTGCTTGGAGCAGATCACTCAGCCCACAGACTTCTACAGGTCACATTCAGCTGTTGGTGGCTGTTTCTGGCAAGGCATGGGTGTTAGGGACACACTCCATTGAGTCTAGTGGCTGTATGTGAACTCTCATGAATGCTGTAAACAACTAATGAGAACAGTTTCCTCTTGATGTGTTTTGGGCTCCAGCTTTTGTGGGCCTGGCCGGGAGAATTAGGTCACTGAGAGCTGAGCTTTGAAGCTTCTGGCCCCATACTTCCTGCTTCCTGGTCTGCTGTGATGGTACTTCCTGCTTTTTGGTCGGCTGTGATGGTACTTCCTGCTTCCTGGTCTGCTGTGATGGTACTTCCTACTTCCTGGTCTGCTGTATGGATAGAGCCTCTGCCACACTCTGCTCCATGAGCTCCACCATGCCTCCCCCAAGGTAGACTGAAATTCCTCAAACCGTGATCTAAAATAAACATTCCTCCTTTTCTATCATGCCTTTTAGTAGCAGTGATGAAGAAGTAACTACTATGATGTTGCCCATTTAACTCAGGCCGTAGATCCAACTGTTTGAATTAGCAATTTAAAACAATTTAACATAGCATTGCAAATGCTTTCGGTGGGTTTGATTATCAATTCTAGCTCCGCAGTCCCAGAAGAACAACCTAGACTCAGTTGTCTGCATCATGGTGTTCTGCTTCCATGGCCTGATCACATTAGCTGTAGAAACCTGGTGTAGAACGGAGCTGAGTCAAATGGTGTATGTCTGTACTCCAGCATGCGGGAAGGTGAGGCAGGAGAATTGCTACAAGGTCAAGGCCAGCCTGGTCTACATAGGGAGTTTCAGGTCAGTCAGGGCCATATAACAAGGGATTACTATCTCCAAAGACAGACAAATAGAAAGCAGAGCCCAGCCTGGTGCAATAGAGCCCATTTATAATCCCAGCCTTTAAGAAGCCGAGGCAGGTTTGTTTTTTTTTTTCCTTTTGACACAGACTGTCCAGCAACTCCCTCTGTAGACCAAGTTGGCCTTGAACTCAGAGATCCACCTGCCTCTGCTCCTAAGTGTTAGGATTAAAGGCACCACCACACCTGTCTCTGAGGCAGTTTGAGGACAGCCTGGGCTACATAGAATGTTTGTGGCAGTCCTGTGTAATATAGCAAGGCATGTTTCAAAAATCCCAAACCAGGGCTAGAGAGATGGCTCAGCGGTTAAGAGCACTGGCTGCTCTTTCTGGAGGTCCTGAGTTCAATTCCTAGCAACCACATGTTGGCTCACATCTATAGTGAGATCTGGTGCCCTCTTCTGGTGTGCAGACATACATGCAGGCAGAACACTGTATACATAGTACATAAATCTTAAAAAATCCTAAACCAGGACTGGAGAGATGGCTCAGTGGTTAAGAGCACTGAATGCTCTTCCAGAGGACCCGAGTTCAATTCCCAGCACTCACATGGCAGCTCATGTTACAGACTGTCTGTAACTCCAGTTCTATGGCAAAACACCAATGCACATAAAGAATAAAAAAATAAAAATAAAATAAAATCCTAAACCAAAACATTCAAAAGATGCAAAGTTCAAATTAGTGAGGGCAGTGAGATAGCTCACCATATAAAGGCACTTGAAGCACAAACCTGATAGCCTAAGTTCAGTGCCCAGAATGAAGTAAAGTTGGAAGGAGAGAACCGACTCCAGAAAAAATCAAGCTCCTGAGGTAACATTGCGTCCTATTTAGAGGCTTTGGAGAACATCTTGAGTACTGAGAGCTACATGGAAACATAACATGGAGTAGCAGCTCACAATGCTCTGCAGACAAGAAGTAGACAGATCTGGGATGTGGCACATCCTTCAAATACTTGTGTTTAAGTCATGCAGTGGTGGTACATGCCTTTCATGTCAGTACTCAGGAGGCAGAGACAGAGACAGGTGAATTTCTGAGTTCCAGGACAGCCTGGTCTACAGAAAGAGTTCCAGGACAGCCAGGGCTATACAGAGAAACTCAAAAAACCAGTAAGTAAACAAATACTTGTTTTTATATTTGTGTGTATGAAAGAGAAACTGTGTCAGTGTATGCTACGTGTGTGTGGGTATCCATAGAAGTCAGCAAAAGGGCATCAGACCCCCTGAAGTTAGAGTTGGAGGTAGTTGTGGGCTACCAGAAGTGGGTGCTAAGAACTGAACTCAGGTCCTCTGGAAGAGCAGTATTGCACTCTCAACCTCTGAGCTATCTCTTCTGCCCCAGACATGTATTTTGTTGTTGATTTTTTTTTTTCAAGACAGGGTTTCTCTGTATAGCCCTGGCTGTTCTGGAACTTGCTCTGTAGACCAAGCTGGCCTCAAACTCAGAGAGATCCACCTGCCAGGCATGTATTTCTTTTTTCTTTTCTTTCTTTTTTTGTTTTTGTTTTTTTTTGTTGTTGTTGTTGTTTTTTTCAAGACAGGGTTTCTCTGTGTAGTTTTGGTGTCTGTCCTGGATCTCACTCTGTAGACCAGGCTGGCCTTGAAATCACAGAGATCTGCTTGGCTCTGCCCCCTGAGTGCTGGGATTAAAGGCGTGCACCACTGCCACCCGGCTCTTTTCTCTTTCTTTCTTTCTTTCTTTCTTTCTTTCTTTCTTTCTCTCTCTCTCTCTCTCTCTCTTTCTTTCTCTCTTTCTTTCTTTCTTTCTTTCTTTCTTCCTTTCTTTCTTTCTTTCTTTCTTTTTCTTTTTTTTTAAAGAGCACAAGTAACCACGTGGAGGCCCATGTCTCTAATCCCAGTACTTTGGAGGCAGAGGCAGGTGGATCTCTGTGAGTTCAGGGCCAGTCTGTTCTACATAGTGAGTTTCAGGCCTTCCAGGGCTACAAAGTGAGACCCTGTCTAAAAAAAATCACAAGTAAGTCTCAGCACAGTACACACTTCAAAGTGCTCCTACAGGTAGGCCCTTCTCTTCCCAGGCCCATGTGACGATGGTATTCACACAGCACTGCCATGAACCATGAAAGGGACCCCAGAGATCCCATCAAGCAACAGACTGCACAGGGAGTAGAACCCAGCACGCCAGAATGAGCCCCCGGTGTAGATGCCTGCTGCCTCTCTAATCTTAACTGTATTGACAAATGACATCCACCTTTGACAACGTGCTAGAATCCAGGGACTGTGCCCTTTAAGACTTCTGCACATATACACATGAAAACAGAAAAGCAGCAGCAGCAGGAGGAGGCTGAGATGGATAGGGGTTCTACTGGTTTTGTTGATGTTCATAATAACAATGGGACAGTGAGGCTGGAGAGAGGGCTCAGTGGTTCAGAGCACTTGCTGCTCTTTCAGAGGACCTGGGTTCAGTTCCCAGCACCCCCATGGTGGCTCACAACCATCTATAATTGCAGTTCCAGAGGATTTGATGCCCTCTTCTGATTTCCTTAGGCATCAGGCATGTACATGATATGCACGTACACACACATGCACACAGAATTGTTAGGATTTTCTGGGTCTCAAGGGAAAAAGCATAGCATGATAGAGCAGGACACCTCTGACCTCCATAGATGTACACCACCCTAAACACATGCGTGTACACACTCATATCCACATCTTTTAAAATATTTTAAGAAGAACTTAGAAAGCACTAATTTAAAACACACGCAAAATAAAATAAAGTGTTAAAACACTACACACACACACACAAAACAAAAACAAAAACAACAAAAAAGGTTAAAAAAGTGAAAAACAAACAAACAAAACAAAACAAAACAAACAACAACAACAACAAAACCAGGCCCCTGCAGGTTCCTTGCCTCCCTCTTATCCTTAGGGTTCCGAGTAACTGCTTCTTCTGATCCTGGAGACCAGATGCCAGAACTTGGTCTTGGCCTCTGGATTGAACCATGATGAACCCACTGTTAGGAAAAATAATGGGAGTGGACTGGGAAAAGAAAGGAGGCCACTGAAGTAGGCTCAGAGGTGCTATGCATAAGGGTTGGGATGTTGCTAAGGAGGTGCATGTCCCAGGAAGATGCCTCTCCTCTGCTTGTCCTCTGCCTGGTCCCCGTGGAACTCCAGGATCAGCAAGTTTAGATGACTCTTGTCTCTGGGCCTTTGGTACACTGCTGCAGCCTGGGTGTCCAGAACAATGCAGGGTGGGCCTCCCAGGGCCGTGGGACAGTGTCCAACCAGAAAGGCACTTAAGTCCTGGTGGCTGGTTGTTTGGTTGGGGGAAATTAAACATTCCTAAAGAAATTGCTGCCGCAGGATTCCTTCTGGCAAGCATGGTGTGGACAATTTCATCCTCCCACAAGGAAATGTAAACACCAGGCTGTTTATCTGAGGCCTTAAGATGCCCAAGGCTGCTTTAGCCTTTAGAAAACAAACTTGGTATCTGACTTAACATTTGGATGATGGTTAGACTTTCTGTGGTGTGTGTCCCACTTAATCTCCCTTGCTTTGACACAGCAGACCCTGACTGCCTCGGCTTCTCAGTAAGCAGGGGGTCATGTCTCCCATTGGGTGGTCTGAATCTCCCAGCCTGCTTAACTGGCCCGAGGGCCTGAGTCAGTCCCCCGCATCAACTTCCCCCTCTGAGACAGGGTCTCACTATGTAGCTGAAGCTGACCTGGAGCTTACTATGTAGACTAGGCTGTCTTTGAGCTCACAGAGATCCACCTGTTTCTGCCTCCCAAGTACAGGGACTGAAGGCGTACCCCACCATATCCACTCTATCTGAGTGTCTTAATGCATTCCCTGACAGTGCTGATTGACAGGCACCTTTGCCCTGACTGTGAACGTTATTAAATTCCTTCTTTGAAATCTGTGCTCCTAGGCCTGTGTCAGTTATACCGGGTTAATAACAAGACATTCTATTCTATTCTATTCTATTCTATTCTATTCTATTCTATTCTATTCTATTCTATTCTATTCTATTTATTTATTTATTTATTTTGGTTTTTCGAGACAGGGTTTCTCTGTGTAGCTTTGCGCCTTTCCTGGAACTCACTTGGTAGCCAGGCTGGCCTCGAACTCACAGAGATCCACCTGGCTCTGCCTTTATTTGGTTTTTTGAGACAGGGTTTTTCCGTGCAGTTTTGGTGCCTGTCCTGGATCTTGCTCTGTAGACCAGGCACCCAGCCTGAGCCATCTTGTAGTACCAGATTAAGGCCTTTTCTTTTAAATTGTTTATTTTCCTGTAGACAGCAGGAGTCCCTTCCAGCTCTGTCCTTGCCCCCCGCCCCCCATCACAGGAACTCTCCTGTTCCTTCTCCCTGACATTACAGCTAGGTTCAGGATGGTGTTCAAGTTAGCGAGGCTACACTATTGGCTGGAGGGAAGCGGTCACTTGTTCTACAGGTGATGCCCACAGCCGTCCACCTGTCATGCCTGCTGGCGGACTCCTCAGTGGTGCTGCGCTATTTCCCATGTTCAGCAGAGTGGCCTGTGTGTGCAGTCCGCAAGTGCACACAGCTGTTCCTCAGATGCTAATTTCCCAGGCACAGTGTTCCTTCTCGATGTGCTTAGATGTGCTGAGGCCCCAGGTTCCTCCTACAGGAAGAGGTCTGGAGAGCAGTGAGGTGCTCTGACTTTAGCCAAAGTTCCCAGGATGCGTCCAAGGGCTCCTAGCACGGCCACACCTAATGAGCCAGAGAGTCAGGGAAAAGCACCCCGGAATACGGTGGAATATTGTGTGCAGCTGGCTGTATGCATAAAGCACACAGACTCTTGAGACTGCATAAGACTGGGCAGATAGTCAAAACTGGGACTCAGGAGGAGGGAGGCCCCGGCACAGTCCACTCGAGCCCCCAATGTCATCTGTGACAAAGGCAGTACTTACGTTTTTCCCTTCCACTCCCGTTCCTATCTACGTGGATGGAATGCACGCGGACGCCAGGGCCCTGCTTTATCACTCTCTACCCTGTTCCCTCGAAATACGGGCTCTCACTGAGCCTCTTCATTTAGGTTAGGCTGGCTGTCTGGCCGGTCCCAGATTCAGCTGTCTCTGCCCTCAGCACTGGGGTTCAGGCACACACAACCATGCTCAGCCCTTACAGATCCTGGGGGTTTGAGTTCATGTCCTTGTGCTTGCCTGATAAGCTTTCTTGGCCACTGAGCCAGTCCCCACACCTTTCATTGTCTTATCTCTTGAGTGGCTGGGTCTCAACATACCAGTTTAAGATTGAACCAAAGCACTTAGAATCCGAGTATTATAATTTGGGCAAACACAGATCCTGATGGTTCTGAATGGGACTCCAGAGACATTCTGATTTCTTTGTCCTTCTAAAGGAAGAAGAAGCTGAGCTTGAGGAAGTCCTACAGTGTCTTGGAAATGAAGTGACATCAGAGAAACGACCTCAGGACTCAGCCACCCCTCACTGGCTCACCCGGATGGCCATTTGTAGGTGTAAAATGAGTGTCTCACTGGTAACAGCTACCTGGCTGCAACCTCCAGCGTCAAATGTTGATGGCTAGCAGGCCCAGCCCAGTTCAGAAGCTGGCATTCCTGTGCCATTTTACCCTCACTCAGGATCTCACTTGCCCACCATGAACTGGCCTCTCTTGGGCTCCCATCCAGATGGCCACCATCTTCACATAGAAGTGCCCTGTGTCACAGTTTTCTGCATTTCGCAGGCAAGAACAATGGGGGAATTTAAGGAGGGTGAGAATTCACAAATATGAACCAGGCATGGTAGTACACACCTATCATCCCAGCACGTGGGAAGTGAAGTTGGGAAGATCAGGAGTACAGATGACCCTCAGGTACATGATACCCTACCTTAAAAGTCACCAACAGAGAGCTGGAGAGCTCACTCCAAGTTTAAGAGCACTGGTTGCACTTCCAAAGTACCTCAGTTCAATTCACAGCTCTTGCACAGTGGCTCACAACTGTCTGTAACCTCAGTTCCAGGAGACCCACTGCTCTCTTCTGGTCTCTGCACACACTCCATGCACACAGTGCATAAACATACATGCAGGGAAAGCTCCCATATACATAAAAACAAAAAAAACCACCAACAGAGCCAGGCATGGTGGTGCATGACTTTGCTCCCAGTGCTTAGGAGGCTGAGGAAGGATCTATGTGAGTCTGAGGCCAGCCTGGGTCTACATAATGAGTTATAGAACAGCCAGGGCTATATAGAGAAACCTGTCTCAAAAAAACAAAAGACAAAAACCACCAACAGGTGCTGATGAGATGGCTCCCTGAGTAAAGGCACCGGGTACCAAGCCTGGCAGCCTGAGTTTGATCCCTGGGACCCACCTGAGGGACGGAAAGAACCAATTCCCCCAAGTTGTCCTTTGACCTCCAAACTGCTCCATGGTGTCTGTACACCCCCACCCCCAAATAAATGTAAAATGTAATTAAAAAATAACCAACCAACCAAATACACGTGGGACTGGGAAGACAGTCAAATGCCAGCTCTGCAAGCCTGCGGAGCTGAGTGGGGAGGGAGCCCCAGCCACACTCGCCTACAGTCACAGGAGAGCAGTGGAGACAGGAGGATCCCGGGCTTTGCCGGCCAGGCAGTCTAGCTGAACCGGTGAGTTCCAGATTACGTGAGAGAACCTGTCTCAAATACAAAACAAAACAAAACACCAAAATAATGTGTGTGGGGGTACAGCTCAAGATAGAGAAAGCAGAACAAGAAAGGCTGCCTATTAAGGAAAGAGGACGGACTGAGAGCAGGTAACAGACACGTGTTAGGAAAGAGGAAAGTGAGTGAGTCCCTTTTGTAGTTCTGTCGTGGATTTTCCCTGTTAGGTAGTGAATAAGTGTATAAAGACATATTCAGTAGTGGATCTACAAAATCCAATGTGAAACTTAACTGTGGTGAGTGCTAATTTTTTTTATTTGCAACTTTTTTTTTTGGTTTTTCGAGACAGGGTTTCTCTGTGTAGCTTTGCGCCTTTCCTGGATCTCGCTCTGTAGACCAGGCTGGCCTTGAACTCACAAAGATCCACCTGCCTCTACCTCCTGAGTGCTGGGATTAAAGGCGTGCGCCACCACCGCACAGCTACAACTTCTTTAAATAATAAAGTTTGAAAAAAATAAGGTGACGAGTGATTAGGAAGACACTTGATGTCTGGCTTTCAAATGGTGAATACTCCCCCCCCCCCCACATACACACAGTGTCAAAGATGAACTCAATTTTAAAATTCCCACTATGCTCTCACTGGCCCCTAACTGTTCAGTTATATTGGGACAAACACATTTTCCAAGCAGTATAGCAGCACAGAAGGGGTTGTGTTTGGTTTTTGAGACCATCTTGCCATGCAGCTCAGGCTGGTCTTGAACCCCCCTGCCTCAGCCTCCCCAGGGCTGGAAGTACAGGCATTTGCCACACTTGGCTGTTGCTGCCATTCTGGGGACCCACTCCCAGGCACTCAGACCAGGGAGCACCCCTCAGGTCTGAGCCCTGATGGGAGCTGTATTGAGGACAAGAGAAGAAGTCTGAGAAAGGAGCAGGGCAGGATGGCCAGCACTGGTTTGTGGTGACATCTGCAGACTGAAGGGGCCCATTTCCTGACTGCCATGAACTAAGGGGCATGGACCGGGCACCCTGATGGACAGATGGCCTGCGTTCCCAGAAAGGGAAGAGTCTGAGGTCAAGGTGCTGACAGGATCCTTCAGAGGCGGCGTGGGGGGGGAGTTGAATGCACTGCTTGTACTATTGCGCCTTCCCTTCACCCAGGAAAGATGAAGCCCATCTTTGTCTCTAGTTTCACTTGCTGTTCCTCCTTCCTGCACGCATGTCTGTGTCCAGATTTCTCTCTCTCTCTCCCCCCTCCTCTCTCTCTCCCCCCCTCCTCTCTCTCTCCCTCTCCTCTCTCTCATGTGTGTGTGTGTGTGTGTGTGTGTGTGTGTGTGTGTGTGTGCGCGCGCGCGTGCGTGCACACTGGAAGACAACCTTGGATGTTGTGTTCCTCAGGTGCTGGCACATTTCTTTCCTTCCTTCCTTCCTTCCTTCCTTCCTTCCTTCCTTTTTCTTTCTTTCTTTCTTTCCCTCTCTCTTTCTTTTCTTTTTTGAGATAGGGTCTCTCAGTGGCCTGAAAGTTGCTAACTTCCCCAAGAGTCTACTGTCTCCGCTTCCCTAGAGCTGAGATTCCCAGTGCACGCCACCATGCTCAGCTTGTTTTATGTAGGTTCTGGGGATTGAACTCGGGTCCTCATCTTTCAAGGCAGTGCTTTACTGACTAAGCCACAGCTCCCACCCCGTTCCTCTAGCAAAACCTTCGTTGTACTGGAATAGGGATCTTTCTTCTCTAGTATGAGCTCATCTTAACACATCTGCACTGATTCTGCATTCCAGTTTTCCACCTGCAATGTCACATTCCTAGACCCTTGAGGCTAGAATTTCAGCATATGCATTACAGGGGGACACAGTCCACATGTGACAGTGGGCATGGGACGATCACTTCATGCCAGTGATACTGCATCAAGAAACATGAAGTCAGTGTGCAAACAAATCATGCAGACTCCTGAGGGAATAGCATCCTAGGAGGAGGGACCAGCACATAGGTCTGAGATGAACACAGCTAAGTACAGTAAAGGAACAGAGAAGATGGAGTTGATGGCCAGAGGTGAGAGAAGTGTGGAATTCACACCTACGAACCACACTCACAATGTTAAGTGTGTGTGGAGGGAGCTTCTTATTTAGCTTATTGGAGTTTATAAAAATCAGACGTTCATTCCTAATAAGAACTCAGAGACAGAAGAACACTAACATGTCCTTGTGTGGTAGGAACCTTGGCTGGGGCACAGCAGTTCACAGCAAATCCACAGTGCCGTGCAGAGGCATTTCCATGGCCAGGGAGGGCACGATGCTCGCTTTTGTGTCAGACTCCAGCTAAAGCAAGAAGGACAGGACTAGAGGGACACACCTGTCTTGATAACTTCCGTGACAGTGACGTGCCCTGACAGAAGTGGTAAGGGGTAAGAGGCTTATTTGAGCCACAGTTCCAGAGAGTCATTGTCCGGCATGTTGGGGAAGTCACAGCAGCAGGAGCTTGGGGCAGCTGGTCACATCACATCCTGTGGATTCTGTAGGTGAGTGTGTTCCTTTTCTGAGTGTATAGTGAACAATTTGAAGGTACATTTTACTCTAGTGCCCAACTCAGCATGCATGCTGGCATTGGATTCTCTGTGCCATGCCCCTGACTTGTCCAGAGTCCCCATTCTTGGTCCCTGAATGCACTTCTAAGCACCGATGACATGCACCCAGTGCAGGCTCCATGCTATGGATGCTGGGAATCCCGATTAGAAGAGCAGAAGGGCAGGGCAGGGTTCCAGAACAGCCAACCGCACACCTCTCTGCTGCACTGTGAAGTCCGCTTTGCTGGTGTTGAGTGAAGGATCTGAGGGTGAGTCTTGGTCTTTTATACAGGTGCAGTTGGTGCACCAGGTGGATTCAGATCGGTTTGCAAGGTGAAGCGTGTGTCCTTATGGTGGGGGTCACAGTTTCATCAGTAAGAAGTAATAAATGACTACTGCAACAATAATAGTAAGAGTGACTGAAGCCGGCTGACTTTTATCAGTGCTCTTCAAAGCCTCACAAACAACAAACCCTTAAAACCAGTGTCAATTCAAGACATTCTCTGGCCACAGGAAAGTCTCCCTGCTGCAGGGAGGGTTTTCCCTCCTTCCCACAGTATGAGGCGGCGGCGGCTGCTGCTGGAACCAGCCCCAATGTCACCTATAACTTCAAGTGACGTTTTATCTCTTCAGCGGTGCTCAAGTGTTAAAGAAAAACTGCTGCTCACACCACTTCTGACACCAGATGTGGGTGTTTCCATACCAACCCCCCCCCCACACACACACCGATGAGGCAAGGGCTGGTATTTAATTCTGACACTGGGTACAGAGATTGCTGCCCTCACAAGCGGGGACCCAGTCCCACAGCACTGCCTTGAGTTCAGAACCAGTGGAAAACCCGAGCCTCCCACACATCCATAAATCCACTTTCAAGGCTCGTGGATCTCAGGGCTGCACTCTCCATGCCTTTTCGTGCTTATCATATAGGAGATAAACGAACAGCTGAGGAGGTTCACAGGGTGAGATCAGGGAGAGCCCTTATTGCAGGGGATTCTGTCCCATGTACAGATGTTGGGGTGTCCCAACTTCCTACATCAGTCCAGAAGTTCTCCAAATCCCTTTGGATAAGGTTTTTATGTAGGTCCTATTACACAGCCTTGATTAATAAGTCAGTGACCACTGACATGGCTTAACCCCCAGCCTTTTAATCACTCTGAGCCTCAACATGGAGCTGGGATGCTCAACCTTCTACTCGCAGATTACCCCTTGAGCAACCAGCCCCTCTCCAGCCAGCCAAAGCATGAATGCAAGCTCATGTACGGATGAAGGGGAAAGTTGCTTTTAACACAGGACTCTGTTCACTGCACTTAGAAATCTCAGGGGCTTGGACTCTCTCGTGAACCAGACGAAGTTCAAACGTAAAGGTCTTTCACATGCCTATTTATACATTTTAGTTGCAGTTGTGTTTCAGAAACTCTGCCCAGAGAGGCATAAACTGTCTACCCCTCCCTTATAGGGCACTAACAGTCAACTAAAGGGTTCTGCCAAAGTCCAGCTTGGGGAACCAATGGGTTCCTTTGGTTCATTTGCAGAGCCCAGGAGAGGGGCTACTTAGAAGAGTGTGGGTGACCATAAAGCAGCCGCCCCAGTACGGATGGCAGTTTCCCCATAGATGCATACATGGGGTCCCCCTGCTTTCTGTTAACCTTCCACACACTATATGCTCAAGCGCCTCCTGAGACCACAAGGTCATGTGCAATTACATACATCCCACTGAGAGGCACAGGAGCGCGGACTGGAATCAGCAGGCTAGAGTGTGAGTAGTCACTGGTGTGCAGGGGAAGATGATGGCTGTGATGCTCAAGAATGGGAGCCGTGGGGGACTGGGAGAGGAGCCTTTTTTGGATGCTCCTTTGGGAGTCGTGGCGAGCCTGCAAATGTTAGTTCCTTGGAAAACATGCTCTGTGCCTCCTAGGCAAAGGGTCCCGGATATGTATTTCTTATGACATTATACCTGTCAGTTTTCATACTAAAACAAAAATTTGTATTTTTGGCCTGGTGGTGGTGGTGCATGCCTTTAATCCCAGCACTCGGGAGGCAGAGCCAGGAGGATCTCTGTGAGTTCGAGGCCAGCCTGGACTACCAAGTGAGTTCCAGGAAAGGCGCAAAGCTACACAGAGAAACCCTGTCTTGAAAAACTAAAAAAAAAAAAAAATTGTATTTTCGGCCTGGGAGGCAGAGGCAGGTGGATCTCTGTGAGTTCAAGGCCAGCCTGGTCTAAAGAGCGAATTCCAGGACAGCTGAGGATCTTACACAGAGAAATGCTGTCTCAAAACAAACTGGTAGTTTCACTTTACATTGTTCTTAGTAGACTCTTTCTCAAATTAGTCTCCTGTGGATTCCTGTTACATTTTTTTTTTTATTTCTTCAGACACAAATGTCATTATTTTGTTATTTTGTGCCAGATAATGCCAGCATCACAGATTTGGGATGTGATTGTGCATCTGGGGTTTCCTTGCCTGTTTTGTGACATTTGAGGCTGTAAATTGCTCTGTGTTCCTTCAGAAGTTATCTGTAGGAAGCTGTCGAACCCGGATGGAGCATGAATGTCTTAGTAAATGTTTAGTTACTTATTTTCGTGTTAGTGTCCCAGAATGCCTACATTGTAAGCCCGCTCTTTTTGGAGATCACTGTGCGCTGAGGATGTTCCCGCACAGCTTATAGAAAAGCACATTCCTCTGGTGGACCACTTCACCAGAGCTGCATAGGCAGCCAAGGCAGCTGTTTTTGCAGGAGGCAGAGGGAATTCACTCAGGGAAACAATGCCAGAACTGGGGCCTAGCCTTCCCCTCAGCAGCCAGCGAGGAGCCAAGAGTAGAAGGGGTCTGAGAAGGTGGCGGTGGGTTTTGCCTGGGGGCTACCCAGGTTCTGCTTGCTGTTGGGTGAATTCTCATTTCCCCAAAGGGACACAGTTGTACGGATGGCAAGTTACGGGGTCACTCCAGTCTTAGGCCTAGGTGAGGAGTCCTCACCAGGATGGGAAACAAGGAAGTGGGTGAGGCTGTGTGGTTTACATTGTACAGGGTTCAGGGAGAAGGGACCAGGGTGAGCCCGAAAGGGAATTGAGACCCTCTGTGACAGGCTTCTCCTTCATCTGCCCTTGAGCGTGGGGTCCTCCCAGACTGAAGGGGCCAGCGGTTGGGAGCAGCGTGACCTTGAGTGGGCATGTCTGCATCTGGAATGCTGCGGAAATCCTAGTTCTTCCTGGGCTGGCCAGGAAAGGATCAGGTTACCTTCTTCTGGGCTGTCAACGGAGGGGCTCCCTCGTCGGGACAGTCAGCCTTGGGCCGACTGAGGGGCCCCAGCTGGTCTTCAGGCAGGGAGTGGGAGGGAGGCCGAGCAGGGCCAGGAAGCTCCGGGGACTCACGGGAGAGAAGAGGCCCGGAGGAGGGGCTGGTGGGCCAGGCCGCAGCCGGGGCGCAGGGCGCGAGGCTGGAGCTAGGCGAAGAGACTCGCGGGACCGAGACCCGGTGACCCTCGGCGGCGGCGGCGGCGGGGCGCCGGGTGGGTCTGTCCTCTCGGGCGCCACGGGGGCGTGCGCGCGCCCTCGGCCTCGCGCCCCGCCCTCCCGTCCTCCCCGCGCCGCCTCCCAGCGCCATTCCCCGAGTCCCCTCGTCCCGGCCATGGAGGGTCTGGTGCTGCGCCCCGCCAAGGACTACCGGGTGGTGCTGCTCGGCAGCGTGGCGGTGGGCAAGACGGCGCTGGCCACGCAGTTCGCGTGCGGCCGCTTCCCCGAGCGCTGCGAGCCGTCGGTGGAGGAGCTGTTCAGCAAGGTGATCGAGGTGAACCGGACTCCCGCGCTGCTGGAGATCGTGGACACGGTGGGCGCCGAGCACCTGGTCACCCTCAAGGACCTGTACATCAGGAACAGCGACGGCTTCGTGGTGCTCTACAGCGTGTGCAGCGAGGCCTCGTTCCAGGCCGTGCGGCCGCTGCGGGAGCGCATGGGCCGGCTGCGGGGCTCGCGCGCCGTCCCTCTGGTGTTGGTGGGCACCAAGGTCGACCTGGACGCCGAGCGCCAGGTACTGACGGCCCAGGGCCGCGCTCTGGCCCGAGAGTGGCGATGCCCGTTCCTGGAGGTCACAGCCAAGAGCAAGATGATGGTGGACCGCGTGTTCACGCAGGTGGTGCGGGAGATGGAGGCCCTGGCCCCGCCGGCGCAGGAGGCTCCCCGCATCCCTGTCAGCGCCCTGGAGTTGTGGCCCACCGAAAGGTTCATTGGCTAGCGCGTTGCGGTCGGCTGGTTCAGTGCCTTTTCCAAGAAAGTTACCGAATCGTAAACAAGTGGCTGCTTCTATATATTCATCCCAAATGGTGCTTCAATCTGCCTACGTGTCTTTCTTCAATGTTTGGCAAAAACTTTGCAACCTCCCTCCGTTGACCTCTGACTGTGCTATAAGAAGAAACCAAAAATGGCCTTTTTCTGTAAAGAGAATTTACAGCTCTGTTCTTCAATCAGCTTGTTTCTGGACTCTCACCCCTCCCCCCCCAGCCTAATTTTTGTAAATAGCGACTTGAGAGCTTTGGATTGGTTGGGGAGTCTGCACTAAAGACAAGTTTTCTTCAGTTGCAGGAGGGTTTTCTCTCTCCTTTTTCAGCCTTGAATCCAGCAGTAAGATTTTCCTCAACATGAATTCCTAAATATAGTTATGACTTATGCCGGGTCGGTTTGAAAGGGGATACTGTATGGGGGACAACTGTCCACACGCACGAAGCTAGCTCAGCCCTACCTTGTAATTGACAGTTAGTTGGTTTCTACATCCCTGCATTGGAAATAAAATTAGAAGCTGGTAATTTTTAACATGTGTCTTTCTAGCTTACGTGTAAACCGATAATTCCTAAAGCTTAATTTTTTAACGATTTATTTTTAGTGTGTGTGTGTTTGTGTGGTGCTAGTACATATGTATGTGGGCACATGTGTATGTAAGGGGACAACCAGGTTTTGATCCTCCCATTCCCCTTTGTTTGAGACGGTGTGTGTTTTTTGTTCACTGGCTTCTGGATTCTTGAGTCTCCTCTGCACATCTTGTTAAAGGAGTACCGGAATTACAGTATAGGCTGGGATTTGAACTCAGGTCCTCAGGCTCGCACAACTCGTGATTTCCCTATTGAGCCATCTCCCCAGCCTCTAATTCTTAGAGCTTTCACATACCTTGTCTTTGAGTTATTTTCCAGGAAACAGAAGTGTGTAAGGAGAAGGGAACGGCGCCCATCTCCTGGTGTATTTCTGCAGAAGTGCTGCCATGAGCCAAGGGCTCATTTATATGTCTTTTTTCCCCCCTTGTTTTCTAGATTCAGACTTTTTTGTCTGAATACCTGCGTAGCTGTTCAGTGGGTGGACATATGAGGGTCATTCTGTGTCATTTTCGTGTGATAGGAGCTGTTTAATGCATCAGTTTAGTAGTGTTTAGTGGAGTGTTTAAAAACTGACCTTTGAAATGTGCATGTGCACAAGTTAAGGAGTTTTCCCTAGCTGCAACATAGTTTTCAAATTTAGGGGCCTCACCCTCTTGGGTAACCTTCCAACACAAACAGAAAGCTTTAGCTTTCCTGTGACCTGAACAGTTAACACTGTGTAAGGAAAGCTGGTTGAAGAGTGAGGGGACAGGGTTGGTTCACTTTTATCTATATGATATGTGGTACTTCAATAGAAGGTTAGGTTTGTCCCCCGCCTTAATGTAAAGAGCATGTTTCAGAACCCATCTACAGATTCGCCCAGAGAGGGCCAGCTGGTTAGGCGGTCCTGACTCCACTCTTCCTCCCTGTCCTGAGACAGCCTTCGCAAGCCTTAAAACCCATCTCACACACACACACACACACACACACACACACACACACACACCCCTTGCTAGCCTCCCTGCCAGACCTCAACCATCTCTCTAAGGCCCTGTTTCAGAGACGAGGAGGAGTGTGTGGGAACAGTGGGAGCACTTTCCTGGCCTCAGCGCTGTGGTCAAAGGCAGCTCTGCTTCTGGAGCAGAGGGAATAAAAGATTCTCCACACACTGGACAGGGGCTCTGCAGGGAATGAAGTCCCCAGCCTGGGGGGTTGGCCCCAGGACTGGAAGCCAGGTGGCCCCTTCTATCTCTCCATCGGCTTGTGCTGAGGCCTTCAAAGACTACTTGTACATCCCTGGGTCCCAGTCCTTATAACTATCAGGCCTTGGTCCAATAAATCATTCCCAGCCAGCCCTTTCTGCCTTGGGACTTCTGGGATGACCTCAGATACCCCCAGTCAGATCCAAGTTTCCAGTTGAGAGTCCAGGGCTCCTCCTGGCTGGCTGGTGGACCAAATGAAAGAGCGGAGTGTGAGGCCAACTCCTCCACCCTCAGGAGTGTGCTCAGGAGTGAGGAGGAAGCAGCTTTCTGGGACATACACACAATTAAAGACATATACAGGAACACACACACACACACACACACAGAGTTAAAGATATACACACAGGATTTTCCTTCATATACTTCTAACATCTGTATATCAGGCATAAGTTGCCTCTGTCCCTTTGGTGGCAAGGAAGGCCTAAATGACTCCATAGTGAATTTGCAAGGGGCAGTAGGACTGCCAGGGTGTTCGGCTCTGGCAGGTGCAGTTCCCAGGCCAGGCATCTCAGGCTGGGGTGAAATGACCTTCCCAGGCCTTGACACTGTGGTGGCCCTGCCCTGTGCAACTAAGGAGTATGTCCCCCAAGTGGCCCGAAGAGTGTCAAACTGTGGAGTGGAAAGAGTGGAAGAGGGAGGCAGTGAGTACTCCAGCCCCTCCCTGGGCTCAGGCAGAGCTGTTTCTGGCCAGCACGCTGCGGTTTCTCTGTGATTAGGGCTGCTGTGATGTAGAGAATTCTTTTGGGGGCTTAAAATAACATCACTCCTCTTCTGAGAAATACCCACTCTCTTCTCCAGTGTTACAGGGCATAGTCTGCCATGGTAACTGCCTCGTGGTAACATGGGGGTCTCGATGTCATCTTGTGGCAGCAGTCTCTGAGATACACCAGCGGCACCCACTTCCCAGTGTTTATTCCCTGTGGTGGCCTCGGCCATCATGGCTGGTCTGCCCTTTTAGAGCTCTGTATTTCAGAAACGTAATATGACCTGAGTGATGGAGTGCCGCTTTCTTTTTTCTTTTCTTTTCTTTTTCTTTTTTTTTTTTTTTTTTTTTTTTTTGGTTTTTCAAGAAGGGTTTCTCTGTGTTACAGCTCTGGCTGTCCTGGAACTCACTTTGTAGACCAGGCTGGCCTCACAGAAATCTACCTGCCTCTGCCTCCTGAAAGCTGGGATTAAAGGCTTGAGCCACCACCACCTGGCTGGGTTGACACTTTCAAAATCACTTCACAAAAGGGTCAACCTCTGCCATGCTTGCCTCCTTGAAAACACACACATGCAGTGACACATGATGTCTCCAGCCGGCTGCAGCCTCCCAGGCTAGACTGGAAGTGGGCCCTTCCCAAGGGGCCATGAAGATGATGGTGTCCTGCTGACACCCACAGAGACACCAACTGAATCGGGTGAGAGCCAGCACAGAGGGCCCAGCTCAGTACTCCAGTCCCCCAGAACACCAAGGACCCACACTTATCTGTTCCCAACCCTAGGTTGGGACCATTTTGTTTTCTGCCTCCTGCATCAGTAGGTAACCAACATAGCTGTGAGGTTAGACAGGGTGCTGACCACAAACCTCTGAAAATGTAGACACTTTGCATTCTGAGGAGTGTGGTAGCCAGAAGGCAAAAGCTCCCCAGGCAGGCCATCATGAGACAGAGGGACTTTGAGGATGCCGGGTGTGGGAGAGGGCTCAGAAGGAAATGAGTGATTTGTTACCGGGACTTGCAGGATAACGCATAGTTTGGTCCTGTTGCCGCCCAGTGGGAAGCTGGCAGTGGCCCACTGCAGCCCATGGCCAGGCGAGGTTTCCCAGCAGGAGGCTGAAGGTGCTGCTTGCTTTGATTTGGGTGTGATGAAAGAAAGAAACAAGGGACTGGAGAGATGGCTCAGAGGTTAAGAGCACTGGCTGCTCTTCCAGAGGACCCGGGTTCAATTCCCAGCACCCACATGGCATGGCATAATTGCATGTAACGCCAGTTTCAAGTGGATCTGAGAGCTTCACGTACATTCAGGAAAAGCATGAATGCACATGAAATAAAAATATAATTAAAAAAGAAAGAAAGAAGACTGTCACAAAAGGACAGACGCCTCATCGTCCCGCTGACTCCACGTGTGCAGCCCACACACACTTCTAGTTTCTCTCGGGCAGTCCAAAATCCCTCATGCTAACTGTCCCTTTATTTAGTCCACACTGCTGATGCCCGTGCTGATATGATTCTTCAAGAATCTTCGTGGACCTCTGTGATTCGGGGTCAACCCATTAAAAAAATAGACACCCCTAAAAGTCTTTGAGAATAGCCCTCTCTACTTTGGGCTTCTGTTGGCTTGTCAGGGACCAGCACCCCCAGATTCCTATTGATTGGGTATGCCATCTTCCTAAAGGGTCCTATTGATTGGGCATGCCATCTTCCTAAAGGGTCCTATTGATTGGGTATGCCATCTTTCTAAAGGGTCCTATTGATTGGGTATGCCATCTTCCTAAAGGGTCCTATTGATTGGGTATGCCATCTTTCTAAAGGGTCCTATTGATTGGGTATGCCATCTTTCTAAAGGGTCTTTAAATTTTTTAAAGTATTCATTAACATATATTTTTAAAGATTTGTTTTATTTTGCCTGCTCATATGTCTGTTCACTAAATGAGTGCATTGCTCTCAGAGGCCAGAAGGAGGCATCAGATCACCTAAGACTGTGAGCCACCCTGTGGAGGCCGGGTATCAACCTTGGGTCCTCTGCAAGAGCAGCCAATGCTATTAACTTTGCCACACCTCCCCCTCCCCCATCTTTTAAACATTAATTTGTATATATATTTGCCATAGTATGCATGTGGGGGTCAGAGGACAACTTGCAGGAGTTGGTTCTCTCTTTCCACCAGAGATTGAACTCAGGTCAGCAGGCTTAGTGACAGGCATAACCTTTTTTCTGTGGCTGAGAACTGCTGAGGCCAGAGCTCCAGTCCAGCCACTGTTGGAGAGGTGGGGGAGGGGAGAGCCAGGTAAGTAAGCCCTCTCAGAGTTTCGTGGATCTGCAGACCACAGGACACTGCACTGGAGACATTGTGTGCACGGGGAACCACACTTCAGGTGCTGCCTCCTCTCCAGTATTTCATAGAGTCACGGGGGGGCAACGCTTAGGGCTTTGTCTTCAGGCCACAGCACATCCAGCTGGCACTGCCTTGGCTTATGGAGTGATTAATATGGTCCAGAAATGGACATCATAACCCAGGGATGGCAGCAGTGACCACTGGGACCTTGCCTCTCTCTCCACCGCAGAAGAGAGCAGGAGTTCAACTGAAGAAACAATGGCTTGTCTTGTGGACGCAGCACGCTCATCCAGTTATGCGAAGAAGGGTAAGTGTGGGTGTTTAGTGCAAGGGGTGGATGGTGCTTGCTCTAACCCTCCATCGCACCAGCGGTTCCTGGGGATTGGACTAAAGGTAGAGCTATTGGATCCTATGGGCACGAGAGTGGACTTCACTTCTTTTACTGTGAAATTAACTCCTTGGCCAGTGAACTGGAGAAGCCTGAGGTTAAACAAACCTTCCTCTCCAAAGCACTTCCCCAAACCAAGAGGCCAAGCAAGCTTTTGATGAGAGCAAAGCTCTGGCTTTGCAAGGAGGTGGGGTGGGCACGCTGTAAAAGAACAAAGCGCCAGCGGCATGGAGTCTCTGTCTATTGAGGCTTTTGTTCCGGTGGACATGAAAAATGCATTC